AAGAAATACAGAATGTTTAAATTTTGAAACATATTACAAAAAAAGATACATCGCCTCTAGCCCCCAACCCCTTGCTTTGAACACACTCATCCCACCGTTCTTGCCACTCTGAAGCAACTCCGGAGTCCTCTTTCGTGAGCGTCTTTGTGCTCGCACAGCTGCCTCGATGTCTTGAACCAGTTTAAAACATTTACCTTTGAGGTCGTCCTGACTTGAGGGGAGAAGCAGAGGCTGCATGGAGCCAGACTCGTGAATGAGGCAGACAGTGACACACGCTAGTGGTTTACGAGCTGCTCTTCTGTTGGATGGCACTTGGCTGCAGCGTCACACCTCAGGCAAGAGGACTTCTAGAAATGCTTCAGAAAGTAGTGACAATGGTGGGATAAACATATTTTGAAATGAGGGGGAGTATCTTGAGATTAGTAGAAAATCTTGTACTGAAATAAACATTTTAAATTTAAACATTCACTGTGTTTTTCCACCACACCTCATATTTTTATTTCTCAGGTAAATAGGACGAGTTGCGTTTCTGGATCCTTTAGTAAAGACCTGCCTAACCTAAGAACAACTTACTCCGCTGTTTTCAAAGGATCTTCACAAGCTTGCCATCCCCGCCAGTAACTGATGAGTTCAGAGGTCTCTCTATTCTCACCAGCATGTGGCACTGTTATTTCTTAGTTGGCTGTTACTGCGGTAATGGCATATTATTATACTTGTAATTTGCTTTTTTCTAGTGACCAAAACATTGAGCATCTTTTCCTGTGCTTATTTGCTGTTGCAAATGAAACTGTCTTTTCAAACTTTTTTTTTTTTGGTACCGGGGACTGAACTTGGGACTTTGACTCTTGAGAGGCAGGTGGTGGCACCACTGAGCTAAATTGCTGGCCCTTCAAACCATTTTTAATTCAATTGTTTTCTTACTGAGTTTTCAGAAATTTTAAAACATTCTCATATTCTTAAGTAAAACTTTTATCTGTGTATACACTTTTGTCATGTTTTATGAATATCTTCCTATGTTTATGCTTTTTTAGTTTCCTTTGGAGAACAAGTTTTTTGTTTTTGTGAATCCTAGTTTTTTTTTTTTTGGTACCAGGGACTGAACTCTGGACGTTGCACCTGCCTGCCTGGCACCGGCACCACTGAGCTAAATCCCCAGTCCTTTTTAACTTAATTTTGATGCCTATAGTTCAAGATTTGTTTTATTTTCTGGTGGACATCTGATTGTTCTCATACCTTTTAAAATCTATCAGTTGATAGGCATTTGTATGGTTTCCCTTTTTTGGATATAAATAAATCTATGACTATTTGTATTCAGTATTTTTGTGAACATGTTTTCAGTTACCTTTGGGAGATCGTAAGGGTAAAATTGTTGGTTTATAGGGTAACTATCGTTTTTGAGAAACTGCCAAAATGTTTCCCAAAGTCACTGCACTGTTTTGTAGTCCCACAACGAGTGAGAGTTTCTATATCTCCACAGCCTCACCAGGGTGTATTGTCCACATTTTAAAAAATATTCATCCTGGTGGATGTAAAGTATTTCACTGTGAACTTCATTTTTAATTGGGCAGTTACATAATATAAAATTAACCATTCAAAGTGAATAATCCAGCTGGACGTAGCCCTCGTGTATGTTGAAGGGGACTGGATTGGGGTGCTCTGCTCCCGCCTGTGCTGTTAGGAGGCGGGCCCAATTGGAGGGGGTGACATGTCATGGGTTTGACCTGGAAGGGTGGCTCCCTTCCCGGCTCCGCCCTCCTCTGCTTCCTGGCTGACAGATGAGCAGCTGCCCTCCATCAGAACCCTTTCCCATGCCACTTCTGCCTGGAGCCAGCTGGCCAGGGACTGCATCTTGAGCAAAATAAACCTCCTCCTTTGAGTTGGGAGTTTGGGATGTGTGTTATTTACTTTTCTCTGGTCACTGAGGCAAAGTACCCAACACCCAAAGTTAAAGGAGGAAAGGCTTGATTGGCTTACAGTTTATAGAGGGGTCAGTCCATAACTGGCTGGCGCTAAGGCAGGGAGGCTCTGGGCAACAGTTCATGGAGACGGAAGAGCACAAAAGCAGCAAGCTACCTTAGTAGCATTTTTCTGCCTCTTTTATCCCATCCAGGCTACTGGAATTAGGGTGGTGCCAAACTAATCACTCACATGTAGTGGGTTAGCAACCACAGGCCCTTAATACCAGCATCACACAGTCCGGATTCAGCCACCTCTGAAAAAGTAAGTCCCACCTGTGCTGCACGAGGCCTTGGGGGACATCTAAACACAAGCCATGACAGGGTGTTTCGGCCCAGTCACAAAAAAGAGACTAAGCCCGTGTTCAGCTACCACCATTTGGTTCCATCACTCTTAAGAGAAGACTATACCTCCATTCCTTAATTCTCCTTGCCCCTGACCACCACCAAACTGCATTCTGTCTTTGTGAATTTATGTATTTTGGAGATTTCATGTAAATACATTCCCATCAAATGTGATCTTTGATATCTGGCCTCTTTCAGTTTAGCATATTTTGATTTTTTTCCACACATATTATGTTTCTATCTTCTTCCCCTCCCATAATGCCTTCCTCACTCCATCTCTTGGTTCCTTTCCTACTTGCAAATGATCTACCTTCCTGTTTCCTATCATCTACCTTTTATTTTATTTTGCTCTTTAAATTATTTATATGTTGGGTTCATCATATAAGAAAAGCTATGTGATATTTAAATTTCCACATCTCATTTATTTCACTTAACATTATGGTCTCAAAATGCATCCATTTTCCTACGAATACTTCAAATTTATCCTTCTTTATGGCAGTGTAGTACTCCATGATGTGTAAATGCTGCATTTTCTTTATCTGTTCATCTGTTGATTAATACATAGGCTGCTTCCAAGATTTAGTTACTGTGAATTATGCTGCTATAAACATGGGTATGAATGTATCACTGTCTTTTTTTTTTTTTTTTTTTTTTTTTTTTGGTAATGGAGATTGTGTAACATGATGTCTTTGACTCTTTTCAAAGATACCCAAAATGGAAATAGCTGGGTCAGATAGAATTTCTATTTTTAGTTTTTGAGGAATCTTCATACTGATTTCCATAGTGGTTATCCTAATTTATATTCCCACCAATGATTTATAAGAGTTCCTTTTTCCCTGCAGCCTTGCCAACATTTGTTATGGTTTCTTGATGGTGGCTGTTCTTTCTGAGCTTAGACTCTCAGTGTTTTAATTTGAGTTTTTCTAATGGCTAGAGATAGTGAACACTTTTTCATGTATTGGCCATTTGTACTTCTTCTGAGACATATTTATTTCAGTTATCCACTTTTTTACTGGGTCTTTCGTTTGAGGTGTCTAACTTTTTTGAGTTCTTTGTATATCCTCTGTCCAAGAGATAGCTACCAAAATTTTTTCTCCTAAAGTAGGTGTTTTCTTGTGCCTGTGTTTGTGTCTTCAGCAGGCATTTGTATTTTATCTGTCAGCAGATTCTTTCTGCTTAATATTTAGTTCTTTGATTCATTTTAATTTTTAGAGCATGATGAGAGATAGGGGGTCTAGAGTCGTTCTTTGGCATGTGTATGGCTGCATTATTTGTGAAAGAGGCTATCCTTTCTCTAATGTATGTTTTTGGCCCTTTTGTCAAACATTAGATGGCTGATTGTGCCTGGAGTTCTTTCTGTATCCTCTGTTCTGTTCCACTGATCCATGTGCCTGTTTTTGTGCCAGTACCATGCTATTTTTATCACTGTAGCTTTGTAATATAACTTAAAATCTGGGATTGTGATGCTTCCTTGATTTACTCTTATCGCTCATGATCACTTTTTCTACCCTGTCTCTTCTGAGCACACGTGACTTTTCGGATTGTTTCTCTAGTTCCATGAGGAATGCTGTTGGTACTATGATTGAGATCGCAGTAAATCTCAATATTGGTTTTGGGAAGAGTAGCCACTTTGATTACATTTATTCTACCTGATCTATATACAGGGACACGGATTTCTTCCCATTTCTGATGTCCTCTTCCCATTTACTTTTTCAGAGTTCTCTAGCTTTTCATATAGAGGTCCCATGGTCACATGGCTCCATGGCTCCCAGGCCTGTGAGCAGAGCATCATGGTGGGGAAGCATTTGGTAGAGCAGAGAGAAGGGAACTGGGAGCAAGCTTGACCCCCACGAGGGCAGGGCCTGGACCCCACCTCCCATAGCCCATTCGGCTGTGACACCCCAGTGAGTCAATCAACAGATGCTTTATGATGTACTGACCTCTGGCCCGTCAGCTGGGAACCAAGCCCCAGTACGTAGCCTGGGGACGCTCCCACCAAAACTCAGTATGCCTGCCTGCAGCGTGTACTATGACTGAGGGTCTGCTGGAGGATGTGGTGGGTCGTACTGACTGATAGTGAATACTCAAGCTTTACCCCAATAAAGTAACTTAGTCCTTCTACCCTTTTTATGTATTTGTGCATTCATTGTGTCAATATTTTGTGGAGGATTTTTGCATCTGTATTCATAAGCTTTAATTACTATTTAATCAAATACCAAGTACCAGAAACAACCTCTACTGTTACTAACGGTGAACTGTGCATTTTGCAGTAACCCTCCTGTTGAAGACAACTAGAAAACCTGAAAGAAAAGAAAAAATAATTAGAGCACTAGAGTTATAGACTCATCAGATCCCCACACCAGAGGCTGGGGAACATGAGCCACGTTCTGAGTTACAGTTGCAACTGTCGTTCTAAGAATGCGATGATATAGTTTTGGATTTGACATAATTTTTCACCTTTTTTTCCAAAGGTAGATGTAAATGCCTTAAATGAAAACCTGCAGACACTGGTGGAAGAAAACAAGCACCTCACAGATCAAATGGCTTCCTTTGGACTTTAGCAAGTCCCTGCTGATTACCATGGGGTGGGTATGAAAAGGTCAGTCTAAAAGAGGAAATAACAACTAATGAGTTTTTTTTAAAGCAGAAGTCAGAAGAGAGGTTTTCTTTGTGCAATCATAAGTCTCTTGTATGTGTTACCATAACTCAGAATAAATAGGGCAGAGGTCCCTTTAGCATTCAAACGAGAGGATTTAGGAAACCAAGAATTCAAGGCACCTATTGAATGGCTGCCTACACAGATGCTCTTTGATACTGAAAAGCAAGAATACATCTAATGTTTTAAAGTATTTCTTCTTCTATAAATTATGAGGAGGAAACTGTCAGTTCCCTCCAATAGGCAATTAGTAATATGTCTGATTTCTAACACCTGTCTGACAAAGTCACTGAATTATAAAGAAATGATCATTCTATTAAGAAGCTAATTTTTTAAAAAGCTAATAATTTTCTTGTGTTTTAATACTTGAAAAAAAATTAGTTATTGCTTGTATGACATGCAATTTTTTAAATTCCACAGAAGACCTGAGAAAGACTTTGTTAATCTCAGCTAAATTCTTTCAACCTCCATCCTGAATTGCTTTCTACTTCAACTATGAATAATTACACAAACTAGTCTAAATCTTACATCTTCAAGGCTGGGGATTTAGCTCAAATTAGGCAATGTAAGCAGAAAAGAGTAACGTTCACTCACGCTTGCTGCACCTGCCTGCAAGCGTAAGGTCCTGAGTGTGATCCCCGGTACCACAAAAACCCAAGCAATCTTACATCTTCATGGCTTTCAAGCCAGACTGTCTTGGTTTCAGTTTTGACTGTGACCATAGATCTAATTTAACCTCTCAGAGCCTCAGTTTCTTAATCTGTCAAGATGAAGGTATTAATACTGTTACTGTCAAGTTGTTTGAGAAGTAAATAGGTTCCTATGCACAAAGCATGTAGCAAGTAGCTAGTGTATATCGATTTGTTAGCATCTGGACTGGGTGGGGCTGAAAGTGCCGGTTGGGATGACCAGCTGCATTAGCAGCAATTCGTAGTGTAACCTCAGAACATCCCTCCCTTAGCCCAGGGTTAAAGACAGCCGTCTGCTCTGCCTGATGGCCAGGCCTCAGCTCGGCTTACTGAGCCATCTGGTTTGGGTGTCTCTGGAAGACCACGTCTTGGTCTGCTCAGTTCTTTCCGGATCCCCTGCCATGAGCCAGCCGTTAGCTTTGCCCCGTTGGTGGTGCTGACAGATCTCACTGGCACCTTGGTCTCTGGTGACTCTTGCAATCTGGGAGTGTTTTGGTTGGCTCTGTGAGTCTGAAGAATGGGGCTTAGGGCCCAGGACTGGTGCTTGAATTTACTAACAGCACTAAATCTGTTGTCATTTAGTGCTGGTGATGTATTGTTTTTGCTCTTTCAGAGTTAACATTTGGAATTCTTTTCTTTCTTTTTTTGGTGGGTACTGGGGGCTGAATTCAGGACCTTGTGCTTGGGAGGCAGACGTGGCACCACTGATCTAACTCCCTGGCCCCAACACTCGGAATTCTTAAGGCGTACCCTCCAGCGTAAGCTCTTGTTGGTTTCTGGAGATACATGTGTGAGTGGTGCTGCATGAATGCCACCAGAGACTTGAGTTGAGGCAGACCTGGCTGCTCTGCCTTATCCTCGTGGGTGCCGCGGGCCCACTCTGTGGGGTTCCCACCACACACTGCACACCACACTGGCATAGGGGATCCCAGCTGGACCTGATGCCTCTGCCCTCACCCATCCCTAAAGCCAGTACAGGAGCCACCCATCCTGACACTCCCTACCGTGACAGACAAGAAGCGCGACGGGACACAGCCCAGAGCGCCTGCTGTGTCTCGCCCGCCACCGGGCCTGTGCTCTTCAGTGCCAGGGACCCTCACAGGGCCTCACAGGCAGCATGCACGAGTGACCGTGACTCTTCTGCTTACGTTGCCTGAATTTAGTTTATCTTTTGCCACTTCAGCCTTCAGTGACAGTGAGCCACCGGGAGAAAAGATCCAAGTGTAGGAAGATTACTGTGTCTGAGTTCAAGCTGAGTGATTTTCTTTCCCAGTTCTCATCAGGCTTTAAACATACATTTAAAAAGCACCAAATAAATACAGTTCCCTGTGCAACTTGGACTTGATGACTTGAAATTAAACAATGATTAAATGTATTAGTTCTTAGGGGGTGACGATCAGTCAGTAAATACCCGTGCAAGTGTATGCTTGGTTGAGTCTGCTAGGGCCCATGTCACATTTTGGGTAAAATCCCTACTCACCTCCTCCTTATAAAATAACTTCACCAAGATGCCAGTGTCTCCCTGGTTTTATATATTCTTCTGAGAGCTTGTGCCATTTAGCTCAAAAATTATTTTAGAGCTGAGATGTGCCTCAGTGGCATGGCGCTTGCCTGTCACGCATAAGGTTCTGGGCCCAATACCTGATAACACAGAAACAGAAAAAGGAAAACATTTCTTCGAAAGCATTATGTGGCTATTTGGGTTAGCTTGCAGTCTCTGTGCTTAAAGACCTGAGATGGTCCACTAAAGCAGGCAAGGTCCTCGCTTCTAGGTTTGGAGGTTCCAGTGCACCGTTAGCTGGAAGCCGCCCCTCTGCAGCCTGGGGGAGGCGGGTGTCACCTCATGGCGAGTGGAAAGCGATGCCTGAAGAGGACTTGAGCCTACCCCGCGGGCCCTTCAAAGGCCCCGCCCCGTGCTGCACTTCCTTCACTAGGCCCCGCCCCTCGCTGCTGACCCTTGCCTGCCCACCTTTCCTATCTCCAGACCGCTCTTCCTGTGATTGCCTGCTTTTCTGAGGAGGAAATTGTGTTTCCGAGTTTGAAAAATATATTAAACTCTCGCATTTTTCTTTGCTGTTTCTCGGGCAACTCCCTAGTTGCCGTTTTCTATATTAATAACTTTCATAGTCCTTTGCCAAGGTTATTTAAGCAAAGGTTCATTTTAGTTCTGTTTTCCACAAATCAGAACCTGAGATTTTCATTCATTTAAGTGGCTTCTAATATCTGGTCTTGTAAGGACTACAGCGCAGGATCTCTTTAAATCTGTAAACAGTAATTTAAATAAGTGCCTCAACACCTACTTTCCCTTAGCACCTGGTAGCAATCCTTTTGCTTGTCATAATGTTTGGTGACCCTGTGTCAAATATCACCACATTTTGATTTTTCTTACTGTTTTCACTTACTGCATTAGCATTCTCTTTGTTGGCACAAGGGGGAAATTATTGCTTGAGATGTGTATTTAACAGATTAATGGAATTTCTTCATACCTCTGCTTAAAAAAGGAATTTTATTGAGGAAAAATAATGCTATTAAAAAATTCTGGACATCTTTTATAAGAGACCCAGACTAAGTTATTCCAAAAAACCTTTCCACATTTTAAGATAAGCAGATAAGCAAAGTTATCTTTGAATGTTTAATACTTGTTACTACTAGCATAATTAAATTAAATGTCAGTCTTTTTACATCCTATACCTACACTCTGCGGCACATAGGGACACCTTAATTTATAGAACTTGGAATTAAATTTTAAATAAGCTTTTGCTGTATTGTAGATTTGTTTTGTAGTATTTTTGGTCGTGCTCTTGATTTTTTTTCCTCCTGAAGACTTGGCAAAAATATAAACAGGATACCATCATGTTAAGTAAAATAAGCCAGACTGAGAAAGTCATATTGCATATTTTCTGTCATATGCTGGGAGAAAAGGGTAGAGGGAAAGAAAAAGGGGGATGATAGGAAAGCAAAAAGAAGACTGCTGGACGTGAGGGAGGGGTAGAGAAGGTAACGGGGGACCGGAAATAATGAGAATATGCTGTATGCTTGCGCCAGTATACACCTCAGTGGAGCCCAATACCTTGTGTAAGGACTACATACTAATAAAACAAAGCCATATACCTCAAACTATGCTGCTGCTTTCATGGGGTGATTTTGCATTGTATTTCTAAAATAGAAAACACTGTGGGGAAGGGGCTGAATATCTTTCAGAATATCAATAAGTGATTTATGATTATATAATCACTAGCTCCTATTTATAGCAGTCTGCATTTCCCTTGGGTCATTTAAAAACCAATATTTTACTGGTCAGAGTGCTTTTAGAAAAACACTTTCCTTTACCTTAGTGGGAATAACACATAATGACTTAAAAAAAAAACCCTAAAAAACCGATTTGTGTAATACATTTGGAGTGGATTTCTGCTTTTGGATTCACCACTCTTGAAATAAAGTGCACTACACAGAGGTGACTGGAGAAGAGCTGCGCCTTGGTTGGGGACAGAGAAGAAGGTCTCGTGTATATTAACATGCCTACAGATGTCATTTAATTTTCATCACACTGCCTGGTTAGACATCAAGCAAAAGGCCGCTGCTTTGGGTTGAAATTCCTTGAAAGCACCCGATCCTGTTATTCACAGATGAACCAGAATAAGCCTAAGGGGGAAAACTATGTCTTTACCAGCATAGATGTGATTTTGAACTCGGGGTTTCCTGTGGACAATCCGCAGGGCCACTGTCCAGCCTTGAGTGACGCCTTGTGTTCTTGGTCCCATTTGCTGTGTTCACTGTCCCCACTCATGGTTTATGACGCTCATTGGCACAGGTGGCAGTACTGTATTTCCTGTTATTAAGACAGGACCCTGACCTTGTCATTGAGGGGGTGATTTCCATATTCGATCACTGCTAGTGGCCCTTATGTAATAAAAGTACCATTAAGACCCAAAATTTAATAAGGGAAAACTGCATACTTTTTTTTTTCCCTGAAATCTGAGGAAACCAATATATGAAAAATAATTGTCATTATTAAAGGGTATTTCAATCATGAAAACATGTAGTTTTACAAAATAGAGGACCTGCAATAATGTCCCAGGTAACACTGTTGACTGCTTTATCAGACAATGAGCAGGCCAGGGATTTTGTTCAGTGGTGCGCTGTCTGCCTCGCAAGTGCAAGGTCCCGAGTTCGATCTCCGTTACTAAAAAACAAAAAACGATGAGCTTGTCTCCAGTAAAAATTTCTTCTGTTCTTTCAGAGATTTTTTTTAAACACTATTTTTACTGTGGCAACTGAGTTGTGGTCGTTTTCAGCTCCTGTCTGTGAAGAATTGTGTGATGCTCCCCTGACTGTCTGCAGCCCCTGATAAAACCACACAACATCTGGTTGGATCACAGCTGCAAAGGAGTACCTGACATAGAAAAGAATCAACGTGGGGCCCGGGATTTAGCTCAGTGGTGCTGCACGTTACTGGCAAGCACAAGGTCCTGAGTTCCATTCCCAGTACCCCCCAAAGAAAAGAATTAATGTACAAAGAAAAAGACTCTGAAGACTTGACATTTTTGTTAGCAAGATTCAAATGTGTCGCCTCTTAGCACCGTGACAATTATCTAGAGAGACTCTAAGAGGTGGCGTACCAAAGGAGTATGAATCTGAGTAGTAAGGTCACAAAGTAAGACTACAGAAAGAGTTGGGGTACTAGTACTTGTTTTGAAAGGAAAATGGCTATTCTTTTCTGTCCCAAGAGGCACTGATACTTCTGTTTGCTTTATCAGCTTGCCCAGCAGAAGGTGGAAAAAGTCTTGGGAAAAATTACTGAGAGCAAAAATAAGCTGGCTTATGAAAAGGGAAAACTCCAGGTATGAGATTTACTTTCATATTTTTATTAACTGAACTCTAAATATTGGTTAATTTTGGGAAAACCTAGCTGTCATTCACTGATTCTTTTGGGGCGGGTACGGGAGATTGAACTCGGGACCTTGCAATTGTAAGGCGGGTGGTGGCACCACTGAGCTAAATCCCAGGCCCTACTTGCTGATTCTTTAGTCTCTGAGCTGCCCTAATTCTGTGCTTTCATTGGCGCCCACGGCGCTTCTGTTCCACACCTGCAATGCAGTGCTGAAGCCACAGTGTGCTGGTTTGTGTGCCTTGTTATAGTTACCTTATGCATGGTCACTCAGAGAATGTAGAGAGCCTGTGCCATTTTTTCTGATGATTTGTACAACAAAATTCCTAGAAAGAATGACTGAAAATAAAATAGGGAAAATCCCTATGACTGGAATTCCAACTCGAAACAATGAAACGAGCACTGTAGAGCATGAGTCCTGCCCATCAGTACTGGTCAAGGCCCCCTGGGTGATTCCAGGGAAACTGTAGTTGGGGCCGCAGGACCGAACGGGACAGAGTGAAACCCAGGTGGGCATGGCGACCACAGTCTGGCCAGAGGTTGGCCCACCTGCCAGCATTAACTGCATCCTTGTCTGCTCAGGCTTCACCTGTGGGTTGGCAGATGGCAGGCGGTCAGCAGAGGCAGGCGATCTAAAGGCAGCTTGGACATCAATATGTTACTCATCTGATAGAGATAACACTTTGTCTACTCTTTACATGCTTTCAATTAATATTTTCCAGAGGTGGAGATTCACATAGTGGAGTCACCTATACCTTGTGGGTTTTGGCCACGCTGGTGCTTTTATGTCAGGTTGGGCGGGTGCATTCCACACGCACTGGCTGCACCGGGCCGGGTAGCACAGATCATGCATGAGATCCTAAAGGAAGAGCCGCGTGCCTGCTGTGTGTGTGTTCTCAAATGGGTTAGAGTGGATTTCAGGTATTCCAGAGGAACTGTATTCTGTGAAAGATTGCATTTTCAGTATGGACTTGTTAATGCGGCACATAAATCCTGGGTTTTAGGGTTGGGCTGTGTCAGAAACTCTCCCTCATGTTCACGTTTGGCTGTGGTCAGTGCCGTATGGTGCTCTGTTATAAATATGTCATAAATATGTCACAAAATATTTGTCTAGTCTGCTATTGGATACTTAGTTTCCAGTTTCTTGCAAATGATTACAAATATTGCTGGTAAGATAAATTCTTGTTCATGTCTCCTGTACTAATACCCAAAAGATTCTCTAAGCTAGGTATAATCTTAGGAGTTGAATTACTAAGTTATATGAGGTACTAGATTTTGTCAGATTCCTCCTAAAAGTAGTGCTACAATTTAAACAGCAGTGTGTGAGAGTATATTAAGCAGGAGTGTTACACTTGCGTGTATAACGTGGGTGAATCTCAAGTCTGTATACTGCTTAGGGTTACATAAGTAGTATACCAACTGCCCCATAGCGTTTAACTCGAGGGTGGACCGCAGAGATTTGGTTAGGACAGACTAGACAGAGGATGTTGTCATTTGGTCTGCTGGTGTTTTTTAAGTTGAATGTTGGGTAGAAGGGACATTACCACATATGTCTGAAAGAGCCCCAGCATTTTTACTGTTTTCAGACACTACTCTGCCATTGTCTCCTTGGCCTCCATTGTCTGGATTCAAACACATGAGTCAGTAAGGAACTGCATTTGTGACCTTAATTTAGAAATTAGCTACAAGCTTTTGGGTTTTGTTTAATACATATTTTTTATTGAACCTGTGACGTATACAACCAAAAAGTTCACAGAACACAGCCTGATGCATTTTTTACAAGACAGACCTGCATGATCGGCACTCAGATCAGGAAGCAATATTTCCATGCCCTGGACCATTCCCCACAGGGGTTGGTTACCATCCTGACTTCTCCCATCCACATTGCCTCATCAGAAGTTTCATTTTCTATAACTGCATAGTGCACACTCTTCCTGTTTTTTGCTTCTTTTACCTAGAATTGCGAGTTTCATTCATGTTGTTTGTTCTGGCTCTTTGGTTTACATTGTTATGTGGTGTCCTATTATATAAATATTAGGTAAGATTCTTGGGTGAAAAGGTCTATGCTACATTGACACAATTCCCTGAATATATTTTCATATAAACTTTGGCCGTTCATGTTGCATTAACTCGAGCTCATTTCAAACTACAGATGAGCTACCATTATAGGCATGTCCTACTTTACTTCAAATTTATGATACGTATTGAAATAGTTGGAAAATACAATTGTATGACTTCACAAACTGGACTGAAGAAGGCTTGCTTTTCATTTCTCATTTGTCTCGTAGTTTCTACATTGTTACTACTTTGAGTTATACACAGACCTGTCTGAATCCTTAGACCATTTGATGCATGGGAGGACCGTGACCTAAATCACCGCTCTTCCTGGGACTGCTGAAGAGCTGGTTATGGAAACTGCTTGGATTTTAGTGGTCGTGGACACCAGACCTCTGAGAGGCAGCAGGGTTCATCTGCTTCTAACCTGCCCTATGATTTTTCTCATTTTGAATGTTCTGAATTAGAATTTCTGCCAAGTGAGAAATTCAGTAGAAAAATTGAAGTGCGTTCTGCCTGGGAACATGCCCGCTGATGAGTTTCAGGGCGAGCTATGTGAGGGAGATTGAGGAGTAAGGACTTTGCTTTCCTGGAGGAGAGGCAAGCCTGCAAGTCTAGTCTGGTGGTGGCGAACGATGGCACGCCGGCTGCAGCAGGGTGTGTATCGCTGAAAGCTCTAACAGGCTCACAGCACCAGTAGTGTAGCGCAGTCCACTTTCCCTTGGGTTCTGGGGGTTTGCACAGTTTGTGTGGAACGAAAACAATTATTGGATCAATACCTCTCTTCAGAGGTACTGTTTCAAGTTTTATCCTTAAATGAAAACAGATTAATTCTTACGGATGCTTTGGGGAGTGACAGCACACGTTTTTACTGTAGGCTGTGGAAAGGAGCTACAGCAGCTGAGGACAGTGAGAGAGGGAAGGGTCCCGCTAATGGGGTAGAGTGATTTCCTGAGGGAAAGCGGGAAACCTGATAGTCACTCGGTCGTAACAGCTCCTGGAAATGTCCATTAGTTACTGCCAAAGAGGTCTGTGCTCTCTGCAGATAGGTAACAAGATACTGAGGGGAGAAAATGAAATAACATTTGTAAGTGAAAAAGCTCTGATGGAAGTTTTCCTGGTTCAGGGTTCGGCTAAGTAACATTGTTTTGTATGAGAAGGTTAGTGATAAGAGGAAGAAAATATGGAAAAATACAGAATTTGTGTATTTGTGAATATATAGTAATGATTTTATCCCACAGTATGATAATTTTCCTCAAGGAGAAAACTGAGTAGTCATCTTTATGAGTTTGTTTTAAAATATTATGCAGTGTATCAGAATTCTATTTATTCAGATTTTCTGTCAGTTAAACACAAGACTCTGTCTCCATCTTGCACATCGGCAGTTCTAATTACCAGTGTTCAGAAAGCCTTATGAATGCCAGGTACCATAATTGATTTAATGTTGAAATATATTAGCCATGAGAGTCACTCCTCCATTCATCAGTCGTGACCAGTTGCATTTTCCATAAGCAGCGGAAACCGAATGAGCTGTCTCAGCACTTTGAGGTCGCCGTGGCCTGCTTTTCTTTTCTTTATTTATTTATTTTGGGGGGTAATGGGGATCAAACTCGGAACCTTGCACTTGCGACGTAGCCTACTTTTAACTGTGAGTTGAAACAGAGCTCTGTGTATGACTAGAAAAACTTAGAACTTTTGTTTGCAAGTTTCAAATGTTTCTGTAAATTTTTCGCAAATCTCCCAACATCCTTCCTTTGGAATATATGAGGCATATTTTATTATTTTTGTATTTTTCCTCTAGGTGAAAGTTAAACAGTTAGAAGAACAGCTACACTCTCTTGCTGAAACCAGTTTACAGAATGACCATCTGCGCAGGTCGAGTAAGACTCTTGAGGCCAAATATGCTCAGGTGTGATTAATAGCTACAAACGCTATTTTTGTTTTAGTTTTTAAGGCGTTTGTTGATTCCTTTCTCCCTACCTTATTTTGTAGTGCTAAAAAAGTAAAATATTCATATTTTCTCTTTTTCTTGCGAGATTGAACCCTGTGCCTTCACACTGCTACATCCTCAGCCCTTTTTAATTTTTATTTTGAGACAGGCTCCCCCTAGGTCCCTTAAGTTGTCCAGGCTGGGCTGGAACTTGTGACTCATCTCAGTCTGAGTGCTGGGATAGAGGCATGTGCTTTCACGTGACTGTCCTCTCTCTTGACTCCATTCAACAAATATCTTTTCAGCACCTATCTACAAGATTCTGCTAAAACATAGAACGACTCATAAAAACATTCAGGACAGAATTAGATACTTGAGGCTGAATTAGAACACTCAACTTGCTTCTAAAAAGATGTTTAGGAATATATTTAATACACTTTATTGTAGAATAGAAAGTTATGCCTTTCATAAATAAATTGTATTAATAAATATTCATAGGGAATGTTATGATTGAAAGAATTGAGAAATAGAGGAAGTGATTTCACTTCATAGTGGAAGTGGTTTTTTTTAATTTGAGCCTTAAAAATCTTGGCAGGTATAAGGAACAATTGCCTGTATTTTTATTCTTTTATTTTGTTTTTGTACTGGGGCTCAAACTTGGGACTTTTCACTTGCAAGGCAGGTGGTGGAACCGCTGAGCTAAATCCCGGCTGTGTTTTTAAAATTATAGACAAATTCAGAACTCAGTGTTGACAAGGTACCTACAATAGACGAGCTTACCTAAAGGAAGAATAAGTAATAAAGGTATTTACTCGGCACAGTGGTTCTTCAAAACCTTGTGTAAGTCACTTAACATTCTGATGAATGCAGAAAAAATATTTAAACAAGCAAAATATACAAAACATTTAATGGAGGACTTAACCCAAGAAGGTGTTGCCAAGAAGTGATTGACTTCTGTGACTACATATTTACCATGTATGTAACCAGAATGGATATTTGAAAGCCCCTCAGCTGTCCGTGATGGTGCGTAACTTCTGCGTCTATGATATTCGTGTCCCCGGGGTCTGGTAACCAAGGCACTAGAATGTGTGTCCAGCTGAACACTCCGAGTTCCACCCACTGGCGGCTGAGTGGTGAAGCGGAGCTCACTGATGTGTCCTTTGGGTTTAGGGCCGTCTCTTCCCTAGGTCGTACTCTTCAGTGTGGTCTTTTCATTATGATAGCAAAGGAACACAGTTTCAAATAAGTTTCTCATTGAGGCCTCCAGAATACCCTACCATTTCTCCTGGTAAAGGGAGAACTCCTTGAGGAATATTTCTAGTCTAGGTTTAGTCAGTTTTATTGTTTTTGATTGGTGATGCCTCCAAGAAAAAGGAAATCCCCAGAGAAGCCTGCATCTTCGAAATCCCTCGAGAGCTCAAGGCCATGTGGAAGTAACGTGAAGGAAAGAAGTCCAACTCTTGGTCTGCCTAGTGTTGTTTCAAACTCCACGCGGCGTGCGACCTTCGCCCCCACCCCGCCCTCTGTGAGGACCTGTGCGGAGATCGGGGACTCCAGAATCTCCCTGAAGACCCTTCTGAATGCCCTTAAAACCATGGAGGGAAGACTGGTGGGCAAGATAGACATTCTCGCCTCGAGACCCTCGCATAGTAATGAGTCACCACATTTTCTAAAAAGGGATGTGGTAAGTGACAAATACAAATTAAATCTTAGGGAAATTTTAGATTTGAATAAGAATGAAAGTTCAGAAGGATAATGCTTAAAGATACGTATATTAACAAGGGATTAAGGAAATTATGCATACTTTTTTCATCAAAATCCAATAGATTTTTCAGAATCTATAACAGCATCCTTTGCACTGTTACGGGATTCTAATAGAAAAAGTTAAAGCATTTTAAAGGTTGCAGGTTAAATTTTAAAGAAATGTAAGAATGTTGAAGTAAGCAGAAATATTCCTTGTCACAGATGGGAGGGTGAAATGGTTCACCCTCCTGTGGAGAGGAGTTTGACAGTGTGTGTCATAACTCGGACCCCACCTGTGCTTCTAGGACAGTGATGGCAAGTCTGTCTGAGAGGTGTGACCACGGCAGCCCAAAGCCCACTTACCGCAAAGTGCCAACACCGAAATTAAACCCGGATATTGAAGTTTTAGATGAGAAGAAACAGCTCCGTCATTAACATCTTTTGTCTTAAAAGAAGAACGTAGCACATAGGACATGGTTCGCCACAACGGTTTTAGGACCTTTCCCTGTACTTATGGTATTTGGTACATGGGAAATGTCTGTAAGGTTACTTTCTGGAGTATTACTGGTTAAATAGCAACACCGGAAGCAACCGGAATTCTGTAGCTACATGTGTAAACATCAAGGTTTAGAGGAGTACGCATAATACTTTACTATTTGCATGCAGCTAGAGATCCGGAATATATACATATGGGCTTACTTGTACATACACAGGATATCTTTAAAATGAATCATAAATTGGCAGTATTTGGGGGGAAATAAGGGGAGCTGGGATGTTTTTTACTTTTATCTTTTTGTACCTGAAAAATAACAAATATGCTACTGATTCAAAACTAGTTCTTTGAACAGATGTGTTAGGATAATTGGATTTACATACCTCACACCAATTATAAAAGTTAGTTCGAATGTCATGTAAAACTTGTAGAAGGAAATCTTTGTGATCTTGAAGAAACAGACATTTCACCCCCAAAAAAGATGTGGGCCGGTGGGGTGGCCTACACCTGTGACCTCAGCACTGGGCAGCCTGAGGCAGGAGGGTCCCCAGCAGTACCAGGCCGGCCTGAAGTCGTAGCGACACCCTGCCTCTAAAGTAAACCATGGACGATGACGAGGACTTGACAGAGGGCGTTAAACGTCATTCACTAGGGGCGTGCAAAGAGCCACCGCGAGGCACGCCACACCGACTGGAAGGGCCGCATTCTAAAGCTGTACACATTAGGAAGGGAGCAGAGCAACTGGAACTCTTACACACTGCTGAGCGGGATGTAAACCATTTTATTGCTTTACTTGGCAAGATAGTTTCTTGAAAAGTGAGGCATACTCCTACCTCGCCACTGGGAGTGGGTTTACTCCTATTTACTGGAGATACCTGAAAGTGTCTGACTCTACAGAGTTGTGCACCTGATAGTTTAGAGCTGGAAGCAGCTCGTGTCCCAAGCAGGTGAACGGATAAGTAAATTGGGTTAAATCCAGATAACTAATAGAATACCCAGCAACAGAAGAATGAACTATTGATACATGCAACAAATTAAATCCCAGAATAATTACACTGAGTGAAATAAGCCATTTAAAAGGGAGTCCACACCTGCCTTGCAAGTGCAAGGACCCGAGTTCGATCCCTGGTACCAAAGAGTCCATACACTGTGGCATATGTATGCTTTTATATAACATTTAGAAAATGCAAATGATTGTGACAGAAAACAGATCATTGGTTCCTTTGGGTGGAAGTTTGGGAACAGAAAAATGAGATTACAAAAGGACAGACTTTTGGGACAATGGAAATAGTCACTGTTTTGGTTTCAATGGTTTGTATACATGTCAAGTTATACACTTTATACTTTTTTTTTTTTTTTGGTTTTTTTAAACAGGATCTCACTATGTAGTTGAGACTGAACTGGAACTCACTATTTAGCCCAGGTTGGTCTCGAACTCACAGCGATCCTCCTGCCTCAGCCTCCTGAGTGCTGGGATTACAAGCGTGCATCACAATGCCCAGCTCTTATACAGCTTATTATATGGCAATTATACCTCAGTAAAGCTATTCAAAAAAATACGAATGCATCAGCTACTCATAATGTTAACATATGGAATGGTTAAAATACATTTTGAAAGGATAGAACTGTAGAGCTGACAAATAGATCAGTGGGTTTGGAGGGGGTGACTACAAAGAGGGAGCAGAGGGCAGAGTGGAGATGGGGTCAGGGCATCCTGACCGCTGTGGGGTTGCATGAACAGCCACAGCATGGATGACCCGGAGTTGTGTGTGTGCTCAGACCCAGGCACACGAGTGAGAGTGGAGGAAACGGGGGAGATGAGTAAATTCTGTGAGCTTATTAACTAACAACAGTATCCCAGGGCCCAGGATTTAGCTCAGGGGTGCTGCAACAGCCTCGAAAGCACAAGGTCCTGAGTTTGATCCCCAGGACTCAAAAAGAAAAGAAAAAGTACCAGTGTTGATTTTCTGGTTTTGATATTGAACTACTGGGAATTCTACTATTTTTGCAACACTCTGTGGGGCTGTTTTAAAAGGAGTAATAATAGTAATAATAATAGTGAGTATCTGAAATGATAGTATGTTCTACTAGAAGTGTTGCAAAGATATAAAGTTCTAATACTTCTAATTGGGATTTACTCTGCTCTAACTCAGTTTTACAGACATCAGTACTTATTCATCTTGTATTTTATTATATTATTGCATTTACATCTTTAAAGGAAAGTGTTCAATGATTACCACTTTTTCCCGTTTAACACTCAGCTTCTTGACCTTATTGTTTCTATTCCTATTTTCATGGAAATTGACTGAGGTATCAGGTGTTCATGTTTATTCACAGAGTTTTTTGTTTTTGTAGTCCTCTGCAAGGAGCTAATACATACAGAATTGATACGTAGTATGGATACACATATTCAAAAGTCTTAAGTTTGGTTTCTAAATTGCTATGTCTTATTCTAGTCACCAATTTATTGTGCTTTAGATAGTTGCTTATTTCTTCTTTTTTTCTGCTAAGGTGAAATCCATCCTTGAGAAGAACGAGGAGGAGCTGTCCCAAGCAGTGAAGGGCCGGGACGCTGCCCTGCAGGAGAGTCAGAGGTTGAAAGGGGACCTGGAGGCCTTGGAGAACAAGGAAAGCAAGAAGGTAAGGCCTCCTCCTTTCTGCAGCACATAGGAAACCTTTCCTGTGCTGTGTCTCATTTCTGTTAAGAGTGAGGATTGATCAGAAGAGGAGTTCCCTTTCTAGGGGAAAGATAACTTTAGAATAGTTTTTAAATATACAGTGTATTCCTCCCACTTTTTAGTCTTAAATGAGTCAAAAGGAACAGTCCTTATTTTTTCTATTAAAATTCATCTGAAAGCCAGGCATGGTGATGCACGCATCTAATTCAAACAGGGCAGGGGGCTGAGACAGGAGAATCTTAAATTCGGTCCCAACCTGGGAAATTTAGGGAGACCCTGTCTTACAATAAAAAGCACTAGGGATATAGCTCAACTATCCGTGGATTCAATCCCTAATAATGGGGAAAAAACAAAACTAGACTAAAAATTTGACCTTATTAATAATAACCTTCATGTTTGTGTTTTACTGATGAGACAGAACAGTGCTATGACCGTGGTGGCACACACCTGTAATCCCAGCAGTTGGGGAGGCTGAGGCAAGGAGGCCAGCCTGGGCTACATAGTTCTAAGCCACCTTGAACTACATAGGGAGAGACCCTGTCTCAAAAACAAAACAAAACAAAAAATAGTGCCGTGATGCTTTCCCCTTAATATTCATATGCTGTGTCAATATGAACAGAAGCGGTACTGTATGACAACATATGTATGTGCTATGTAGTGATCAGAGTAATTGCCGTATCTATCACCTCAGACATTTATCACTTCCTCATGTAGGGAGCATTCAGAGTCCTTTCTACTAGCTATGTTGAAATACTTAGTAAGTTGTTATGAACCCTAGTTATCCTACTGTAGAACTTGAAGAGTTGCCAGCAAGGGAGATCTATACCCTTCAGGCCACACCCCCAGTGACCTCTGTAAAGCAGGCCCCACCTCCTAACAGCATGTCAGTTATAGCATCCCCACAACTCATCCACCCTCCAGAAGTGCCATCTATGAGTGCATGAGGCCTTTGGGGAGCATTCTCCACTTAAATCATAACGTTCTACCCCAGTCCCCAATACTCATATACATTGTCTATGCAAAATGCATTTAGTCCATCTCTAAGAGTTGCCCAAGTTTTAATAGTTCCAGCATTGCTGAAAAGTTCAAGTCCAGAGTCTCCCCTGAGACTCAGGGCAAACTCTTAGCTGTGAGACACCATAAAAATCAAAGAAAGTAAAGCCCTGTTGATATGCACTGGCATAGGGTAAACATTTCCATTCTGAAAGGAAGAAATATTTGGATAAAAAGGAATGGGACCGAAGCAAGGCTGAAACCCAGCCGAGCAAACAGGAAATCCTGTGGTTCCATGTCCAGCAGCTGGGAAAATGTGAAGCAATAAGATGTGATCTCCAAAAGGCTTGGGTGACCCTGCATCTGCAGTGTTGGCAGTTACAGCTCTCCTGGTCCCCCACTTGGGGTGGCTCCACTCACTGCCAGTGGCTTTCCTCAGTTATTCCATATTTCTGGCTTTTTTTAACTTCCCAGAGGTTCCATCATACTTTTGGCTTTACTCTCATAGCTTCACACATTGGCTGGCCTCCCAGGCCTTCTGAAATCTGGGTGAAAGCCTTCTTATCCCCACAACTCTTACGTTCTTCATGCCTATAAAATCAGCACCTTGTGGATAATGCCAAGGTCTGCCACCAGTTTGAGAAGTAACTGGGTCTCCTTGGATCATGTTTCCAGAGGCCTCCAAGTACGAGGATGCCTGCGCACTACGAAAGGAATAATGTGAAAATATTTCATGAGCCGGGTGCCCTGGGGCTCTCCTTTCAAAACATAGCATTTAACTTTTGGACCCTGGAGCCTGTGGAGGGTAGAGTCATGCTGATTCCTGGGATGCCCTGAGTGTGTGTTCCTATTGTCCTGATTCATAGTACTTGGCTTCTTTTTAATCTTAATAACCAAGCTGCTCTCTGCTCCAATTTTAAAGATGCTTACTTTCCAGCAGAAGTGGAAATTTTTTAATGGAGTTTTTCCTCCCATTTCTTAGTATAAATCTTGCTAGGCTGGGGATTTAACTCAGTGGTTCTGCCACCTGCCTCACATGCACAAGGTCCTGAGTTCGATGCCCCGTACCAAAAAAAAAAAAAAAAAAATCTTGCTAAAAGCAGTAAACAGTGCCTGTGTTGGTTGTTTTTCTCTTGTTGCTGAGACAAACTGCCCAATACCTGAAGTTAAAGGGGGAAAGGTTTATTTGGTTAGCAGTTTGTAGAGGTTTCAGTCCACAATTGGCTGGCTCTAAGGCAGGGTGGCTAGGGGCAACAGTTCATGGCAGTGGAAGACAGCAAAAGGAACAAGAGACCTTAACAGCATCTTTCTGCCCCTTTTATTTTATTCAGACTTCTTAGAACAGGTGGTATTTATGCCCTTAATCCTAGTGCCCTCAGGCCCAACCCCAGCATCAATCAATAACACAATGTAAGACACCTCTGAAAAAGCATGAGGCTTTGCTGGGACATCTAAACACAGGCCATAACAATACCAGTTGAAATTTCCTCCACCAGATTAATTAGTCCACTGTCCCTAATCTTAGTCTACTGCAAAGTCTCAGGATATGAGCAGAATGTTCACAAAATTTCTGCCAGAGCATAACACGTGAGGTCTTAAATCCAACTGTCAATGGAGTCTTTATTCCAAACGAAAACCTCTTGAGCTTGGTCTTTACCATCTGCATTTTCATCAGCATTCTGATCTTCTGTTCTCTGACCAGAATCTCCCATCAGTCTTAGCATACAGAACTCTAGCGTTTTTCTAGCTGGCATCACCTAACTTTTCCAGACCCTTCCCACGAACCGCTTCCAAAGGCTTCTAACCATACAGGTATTCATAACAACAACCCCACTCCTGATACAAAAAATGTCTTGACGTGAGTCACAGTTTCTGACACCTGCATCTCAAAGGACAGAAGGCTTATTTTGGCTTATCGTTACAGTCCATGGTACAGCAGCATGGCATATGGACATACTGGAGGAAAGCTGCTCAGCATCGTGGCCGCCAGGAAGCCACAGGAGAAGGGGAGGGTCCGAGGGGAGAGACACACCCTTCCAGGTCACACCTCAGTGACCTACGCCTTCCGGCCAGACCGTGCCTGAGTCCCAACAGCAAGTCAGCTGTAGTGTCCCCGTAATCCATTCTCCTTCAAAAAGCCCTGCTTAAGAGCACATGAAGCCTTTGGGGAACATTCTTGGTCTGAACCATAACTTCTTACTTCCCCTGGGTCTGGCAACCACTGTCCCATTCTCCATGCCACGAGGTCAGCTTTTCACATTCCACATACAGGATGATTAAGAAATAACAGTGAACGCTGCTGCCACATGCTATCCTGTGGAAAGGCAGAAATGGGATCTTTAGCACAGCAAGTGGCATGTCGAGCCTTAATAACAAACTGTGCGACAGGTTTCAACTTGTTTGATACAGTCAGTGGCGAGCTACAGCTCAGAGAAGGTGTGTTTTAAAGTGTTCCCTAAGGCGTGGATCACAGTGCATTTCATTGAAGTTGTGCAGTCACACTGCTTTGGTTTCCAGCTCTTTTTTGTTGTTGTTGTTGTTTTGTTACGGGGATCAAACTCAGGACCTTGCACTTGCGAGGCAGGTGGCGGAACCACTGAGCCAAACCCCCAGACCCCTGGGTTCCAGCTTTTTAAGAAATGTCATGACCAACGTTCAGAGTTCTCAATGGAAATGACCCAGTTCTCCTCATGCCAAAAAATGTCAATCAAGATCCAACATGAACATAATAATGATTGTGCTTTTTTACCTTGATGGAAATATGTGAGCTGAGTTTGTACTCAGGAACACTTTGCTGAACTCTTAATATTATGAAGGCGTACTAGATCAAGAAATGATGTACATGCCAGCTGTGGTGGTGCACACCTGTAATCCCAGCCCTTGGGAGGCTGAGGCAGGAGGATCGCTGTGAGTTTGAGACCAGCCTGGGCTACATAGTGAGTTCCAGGTCAGTCTCAACTACATAGTGAGACCCTGTCTCAAAAAACCAAAAAAAGAAAAAAAGAAATGATGTGCATGGAAAATAGCCTGAGAAGTGAGCAAACGGTTTCATCCTTCATCCTGACTACACTCTGTGTTACACACTGTTACTGGTACAGCGATTTCTGTCAAAGACGTGGTGTGTCTTCATCCACCCTATTCACTGGATCTGAACTGTGTGACTTCTGGCTCTTCCCCAAAGTCAAAATGAGCATGGAAAATAAATTTTTGAGTCAATCTGAGATATTGAGGCAGCCTTCACAGCCTAACTAAAGACATAGAAGAACTTCCAGAATGCTTCAGAAAATGGCATGAGTGATGGAAGAAGTGAGTTTGAGTGAGGGGAAGTATTTTGAGGGCATTAATGTCCTTTACTGTAATAATTTTAAAAATTTATCACACTGCATGTGAGAACACAGTTTTTCTTTCTGCGCCTATTTCACTTAACCTTCACATCTGTCCAGTTGCTGCAGGTGATAGAATCTCATTCTTTTTATGGCTAAATTTTCCATTGTGAATAGACACCAGCATCTCTCTTCACCCACCCACATCTCAAACTTCTTCTTGACTGCGGAAGCCAGATTTTGCCTTATTGCAGAGGTTGTGAGCTACATCCTTCTTTAGTGACTTTCACTGTGTCCTGCAGCCTTTCTTTCCCCTGTGCGTAGTTCTGATGGGGTTCAGCTGTGACCTCTGCTGACCTCCCTGGAGCCGCTCTGGCCCCCACCGTGTATGGCCCTTGGTATCTGCAGTCAATGTGTGTGCTGAATTTCCCACAAGGCTCAAGGTCTACTTTTCTCTTTTTCAGAGTCACAGTAATTTAAGAAACATAATGTAAAATAATACTTGATTCTTGCCAGCCTGCCTTTCATATTCTTTCCCAGGAGTCACCAGAAAGGATCAAGTGTCTTTGTCTTGTTTCCTTTTCTCCTAGGTGGGAAACTTTCAGAGACAGTTGGCAGAGGGGAAAGAAGACAACTGCAAAGTTACAATCATGTTGGAAAATGTGCTGGCTTCTCACAGTAAGATGCAAGGAGCTCTGGAGAAAGCGCAGATAGAGCTGGGGCGAAAGGATTCCGAGATCGCAGGCCTCAAGAAAGAAAGGTGCCTGTGGTTCTGCTTCTGTCCGTGATGTTGCAGCGCTGCACTAAGGAGCAGTGGCACTGTGTCACCTCCTTTGTGACAGACCACTGCCAAAATGGTGTGCAAAGAACTGGCAAGTGAGGGGTTCTGGAATAAGAAGGGGACGTGATCCTAAAGATTCGAAGCCGCCCTGTTTTGTGGCAATGGAAGGAGCACGTGCCCTTGAAACCCGTCTGCTGGGTTACCGTTCCACCACTGCGGCTTTCTGCACCTTTACCGCATTGTGAGGGGCCGTCATCCCCCTCACTGTTGGGTGGCCTGAACCACCAGTGTACGTGCGCGCCTGGCCCACTGTACGAGCGGGACAGGTGCGCAGGTACGGTGGCTCAAGCCAGCAGAAGCGTGTTAAACCCTGTTCTTAGGTCTCCAGAAGAGTGATTGCAGAGATACCTGAAGCTGGGCTGGGGGGTAGCTCAGGGCAACAGGGCTCACGGGCCTGTGTGAGACCCCAGGATTGCCCAGATGAGTGAAGCTGAACGACTAATTTAGTTTGAATTCATTTATTACTATCTTGTTTCAAGATTAATAAGGGCTGGGGATTTAGCTCAGTGGCACGGCACCTGCCTGGCAAGCATGAGGTTCTGAGTTCAATCCCTGGTAACAAAAAAAAAAAAAAGATTAATAATAACATGAATTATTCTGAGAACTATTGCCGTGTTTTGTAAGTAAACTCCTTTGAATGTTTAATTAATAAATTTTCCCTGTTTGATTAAAGAAGGAATAGTCTGAGTCTAACAGGGCTTGTGTGTGCCGGTGCACACTACCTGTGTGTCACGAGAGAGAAAGTGAATTTTGTTTTTTTCATTATGCTTACTGTTACATATTTTTAAAGTATATAAAACTTTGAATTGGAAATGTCAGGAGAATAGCATTAAAAAATATTACTCACCATTCATAATGTCTAAGTAGCTGTTAAACTGAGAAGCAGAATTCTCAGGGCAAGCCAGGGCTTGTAGAGGACTTTCGCAGTGATGATCCGTGTAGTGTGAAGTTACCAGCCCGTGGGTCAGGCAGGGATGTGGACAGATACCTAATGCTGTGGTGGTGAACATGTGCCACGGCCAGCTGTTCATTAGCATTGGAAATGCTGAAAGGTTCGCCATCACTGCCCTAGTGTACCAGGCCAAGTCGTTTGACCCTAGGAGCCGTAGTGTTTTAACCTGCAGCTCGCTGTGCGCCGGTTCTCCATCGTCTTCAGTGTTGGCGGTCCACTGTGTATGATACTGCGAGCTTCTTGGAGAAGAGTGGATGCTCCCAAGTGGTGGCATTCCCGGTGATGCTTTTCAAGGGTCACTCTTCTGCTCTCTGTCCGAAGGGCCCTCAACCTGCAGCGGGTGCAGAAGCTGGAAGCCGAGGTGGACCAGTGGCAGGCCAGGATGCTTGATGTGGACGCCCAGCACAGCAGCGAGGTACGGGCTGGTGTTCTCTGATGGTGGCGCTGAGCTTTCTGATGTTGCGATAGGACTTTGAGGAAAATGAGCGGAAATGATTGGTTGGTTTCCTTTTCATCCAAGTCCAAGTTGGGATAGTGAGCTATTTGCAGATAGGAAAGAGACCTGAAGTCTTATGGGCAACCAGACCCTCAGTGTGACTCATTCTCTTGGTCTTATATGGTCCATGTGTATATTAATGACATATTATATCTCATAAATGAAATATCACTCCAGAAATATGAGATTGAAGAGCTCAGAAAATTACTTCTAATCTTTTAAGTAGCCATAGTGACTCTGCTGTAATAAGGAGACACACACGTGTGCACCATGTGACTGTATCTTCTTGTACTGTGTGTGTGTATGTTACATGCATGCATATTTCATATCGATGATCTTTTTAAGCAATATGCAAGGAATAGCTGCCAGTTTTTATCTTTTCTAGGGAATGAGTCCAGAAGGTGATAGGGTCAGAAAGAGGAATTTAGCTGGTTAAGAATTTTTAGAGTTAAAGTAAATTAAGCTGGCTCTGTTTTCCAAAGCTCTGGGGTGGCCAGTGGAGCCTGCCTTTCCCGCTGACTCCTCGGAGTCGGAAGCGAGGTCTGAAGAGTGCTCTCCCGGGCACATTTCAGGTGCTGGTGTCACTCTCCTGGCCCTAATGACCTATTTCAGGGAACGTGAGGATGCAGTGTAGAAGGAGTGTGTGGTGTCATGGGCTCCTTACATCTGCAACAGTGGGCTTGAAAACTCTTCCTCTTTAGGTGGAGCCTCTACAGAAATCTCTCAATGCAGCTAGAGAAGACAACAGGAAGTTGGCCATGAGCCTGGGGCAAGCTCTCCAGACAAATAATCATCTGCAGACCAAGCTGGATCGTGTTCAAGAAAAATTGGAGAAGAAAGAACTTGAGTGGCAGAATTTGGAAACCCTGAGGTGAGGACATTAGAGTCGCAGTCAGGCTGGGGGAGCTCAGCTCCTTGCCGGCTTGGGGCTCGGACTGTGGCCACTGGCGGCAAGGAGCGGGCCTGACAGGGCACCCAGAGCTGACGTGGGCGGGCGTCCCCAGCTCACTGCCCCTCAGCTGCTGCTGTAGACAAGGGGGAGGGACGTGTGTGTTTCTTCGGGGCTCCTGTCTGTTTGGATGCAGGACAGCAGCAGTGTGGGTGGGACGGCCCCATCCGAGCGGATGCCACCCATCCGTTCTTTTCAGTTTCCACCTGAGGTCAGTTCAGTTGGGTGCCCCAGCCCCGGGCGGGTAGGAGCCAGGCTGAAGTGAGGGCTCACCCTTCCTCCAGACAGGTCCTCACCTCCCCGGGCTCCTCCCGCCCTGCTCCTCCCTCCTGACACATAGAGGCCCCTGGCTGACTTTGCTCTGCCTGCCTCTCCCGCAGACAGCCTGCTGCGGGCTGCTGTCCCCGCCCAGTTGACAGCATCTTTTCCGATTGGCCCGATAGAATCCCACCTTGAAACCAGCCTGTCTGAAATAGAGCCCCAAGCTGTGCTTTCTTGATAAGTAGACCTTAGGTCGAACCCGATTCATCTTTGAACTATCTGAGCAGCGACAAGCAAATTCTGAAGCAAGCAAGTGCTGCCGGCAGAGCTGTGGCCTCCCTCATCCCTCATGTAAATAGCCTGGCATTTTATGGGAGCACTTTATGCCCCCCCCCAAATTTCAGAGTTTTGTACAACTTACTGTCTAAATCAGAACTGACTAGCTGACCCTGAGGGGTTTTTAAATGATTTTGTGAACCACAGTGTAAGCCAGAACATCTTCGGGCTGAAATCTTTCACTAGAATGTAAAGTTTGCTCAGATCCTGTATGTGAAAATACCTTCTCCATTTTAATGTGTGTTTTCTTCTGTACCTGACTTGGAATAAAGATCGGCGTGCACATTGCCTGTCCCCTGGGACATCCATACCTCAGTCAGATTGTCACAGGCTTGACCTGAACCATGAAATCAAGGCCTGTTCTAAACCTTGCTGACACTTAGATCCTCTTGGCCTCCGTCCTTGGCACCAGGAACCAGTTTCATAAAAGACATATTTTCCACCGACCAGGGAGATAAACAGGTAGTATGATTTGCGTATGATTTGAGCAGTTAGATTCACTGTGCACTTTGTTACCGTGACCCTGGTTCTCACAAGGAGCTGCTGCTTGCGCTGGCTTTAGCAGTGTGTAATGAGGAGCCTGCAGCAGACCCCTCCAGGGCTGGCTCAGTAGGGGCCTTAGCCCTGTGGGAATCTAATGCCGTGTCCCCAGGAGGTAGTGCTCAGGCGGTGATGTGAGCCTTGGGGAGCAGCTGTAAACATGGAGGTTCATTCCTAACTGTCCATCCCTGGGGGCTGGGACCAGGTCTTACAGTATGATTGCCGCCTTTGTTTCCTTCATGTGAATGTCTTACCTTTGGGTTGAATCCTCATACAGAATGACTTTTATTTTTGAGACAGCCTCATTGTGTAATTCAGGCAGAACTTGAACTCGGTGTATAGCCCAAGCTGGTCTCCACATCCCCGGCAGTCCTCCTGCCTCAGCCTCTCAAGTGCTGGGATTACAGGCACACACCAGCATACCTGGCCAGAATGACTTTTTTTTTTTTTTTTTACTTTTATTTGCATTTATTTTATGCTGAATTTATTCTCGTGACGTAAATTTTTGCCTCTTCTCTGCACCTTCCTCTGTTCAGTGGGGCTCGGGGAGCTCATGTGGGTTCTTGGCCCTGAGCTCTGAGTGCGCTGGTGCACCACAGGTGCTTTGTCCACTGATGTGTTCACTGACCCGGGAATCTCCGCCTAACCCTCAGCTCAGCATCACTCTGCATTTCTAAGCACATGCAGCAAAATCTCAGCACTCTTTGGGCCACCGCCCCGTGTCCAGCCCCACTGTCCAGCCCCACACCTTCCAACTCCAGAGTGGCACACGCTGCTCCTTTAGTGTGACCTTCCGGATGTGCAGACCCCTGATGGTCTGGGCAGTTTCACGGTGTCCTTTCAGGGACCACGATGACTTGAGCCTCTTGATCTGCATGATTTTGTGGGGTTTTCTGCATTTTCACAGGTCACCTGTGCCGGCTTACAGGAAGAGCCAGAATGACTGTTGAAATGGTGCAGCGAAAAGCATTTCTTTTTTTCTTGTCACTGAGCTCTAGATGGATGAGAGGGAGCCAGTGAGATCTGCCGCTCGTCCGCCAGTCCACTTGCACACCTTTTGGAGAGTTGCACGTTCCCCTCCAGGTGGTTCTGGCCTCCTGAGGTGATTTCCTCAGCCGCCTGGCCTTGTCTTCTTCACAACAGAGAGAGGATGACGGAGGAGTGCAGAGCGGAAGCGGAAATGCATGCTGAGCTCATCGAAGCGCTAAGGAAGCAGTTCCAGACTGAGAGAGATACTGCGAGGAAAGCGGCACAGCAGGAGCTTGCTGAGGTACGCAGTCAAGGACTAACCAAGGAGCCTCTGCTGAGGGGATGGCACAGGGCCGAGGTCTGGGCCGCCCTGTTCCCTGTCCGCCTGATGCCCGTCCCCAGGAAGCCCCGTTATACTTGGGTGGCGGAGGCTGAGAGCCGCGGGTCGCACCATCAGCGGGCTCAGGCTCCTTAGCAGCGTCAGAGAGGCGCTCGGGTGTGAGCTGGTGACACTGCCGCTCTCCGCCCTCGAGCTGGCCAGGTGACAGGTGACGGGAAGGCTTTGGAGGGCCTCAGTGCACCACATGTGAGGCCGAACGAGCAGGATGGAATTCAGGGGAAGGGAGAGCAGGTTTCGGGTCACAGAAACAAGACAAACGCAGCTGAATGCGTGGAGATGCGGTCGGCCCCTCTGAGAGGCCTGCAGAGGTGGCCGATGCCACCAGGACAGTGGGCCCAAGGCCCCGGAGCCGGTATGTGGCCGCCATACCACGTCGCCATCCAGGGGCAGGAGCAGTGTTGGGAGCCATGCAGACCAGGAGGAAGGACGAGACTGCAGGAGGAGAACCTGCAGCGCGGTTTGGTAACTGGTGTAGGCCAAGCCAAGTAGTTCTGTTGTTGACAACACAGAACAGTTAAGTCAGAGAGCCCCTTTCACAGAAAAGAGTGAGCCATTAAGTGTTACCTGTGAACCTAGACGAGGGAGGGACTAAAACCTCCAGGACTTGGGTGGGATGGCTGGCCTTTGTTCTGTGACTGCGACGTAAGGCAGGTGCCATGCGCAGACCATTCCCAAGTCAAATTCAGCAAAGCACTGTAGAAACACATTTTTAAAAATGAGGCTTGTGAGAACAGAAGAGTACATTAGATGCTGAAAGGCAGCTTCATTCGCAGATCAGTGTGCAGAACACTTACAAAACCGAAACCCGAGGGGGCGCCAGGGGCTGTGAGGCTACTGGGGCAGCAGGAAAGGGCCCAGCTCTGCCTCCCGGTAGGTGTGCAGAAGTCCTCCGAGGGACCCAACTTCCGCTTCTGCTGTCCTAAGGTAGAAACCATCAGTGTCTCAACTGGGAGTCCCCGTGACCCTGGGCAGGGGCACTGTGGGCCGGGGACGAGACACCGTGGGCTGGACTGTTCCTTACCACGCACTGCCATCCCAGAGCACTGCAGCTCCTTCCTGTCTCCGCCCATGCAGCTCACAGGGCACCCATTTAAGGGAACTTCAGAAGGTGGGAATCTGAATCATCTCAGTAGTCACCATGGTGTTTTTCCTTGGGAAAAGCATATTACAGTCCTTAAGAACAAAATTTAAGAGCTTGCATGGTGATACACACCTGTAATCCCAGCACTTTGGAGGCTGAGGCAGGAGGATCACCGTGAGTTCAAGGCCAGCCTGGGCTACATAGTGAGAGCCTGTCTCAAAAAACCAAAACAAAACAAAGTCAGAATTAGAAAGATAAATGCAGCTCCCGAGATTTACGTAAACCACCATGACGTGTGTTTTCATTTCCTGGACACGAGCTGCAAGTGACAGGAAGAAGAGAAAAGCAGCTGCCGTGTACCCAGCCCTGTGCTCTTTCTGTCCGCTGTCTCAACTCTTCTGCGTCTTGCTTTTTTCAGTAGATGAACCTGAGCTCAGGAAGTTAATGACCCCAAACCACTCAGCTAGTGAGTGGTGAAACTGAGACCAAAGCTTCGGTCTGACTCCAAATCCATGCCCGTAAAGTGCAAAGGTGAACATATGTCCGTGTTCTTCATCTGTTCTGAGAAAGATGTTCTCTGGTGTTAAAGTGACAATTGATGCCTTGCTCGATCCACTGTCGTCGTTACTGCCTCACTCCCAGGAACACCAGCGGAGCTTCTCTTGCTGAACACCAGATGGAGAGAGCCCAATCTGTTCCTTTGTGTTCTAAGCTGAAGAAAGCCCTCCACGAAGCCAACTTCCGGTCAGTGGAAGTGTCCCGGAGCAATCGAGAGCTGCGGCAGAAAATCGCCGAGCTGGAGAAGACGCTGAGCAGTAGCCAGGAGAAGCTAAAGAGTCAGAAGGCCCAGATAAAGCTTCACCTGTCAGCCAAGACAAGCAACGCTCAGAACGTGGAGAGGATGAAGGTTGTGCGAGCGCCAGCGTGGGGCGGGTGGGCTTCTGGGAAGCAGGGTGTCCTCCCTGGCCGCGGGGCAGTGGCTGCCGGGTAAACCTGGGCCCTCAGCTGCCAGGACCACTGGAGCATTCATCCCTTCCCCATAATGGTCCCAGACCTCGCCCTGAAGGGGCCGGGCAGCAAACAGCCAGCAGGAAGTGTGTCCCCTGTGGGATTCCGCCTGTCACCCAGAGGGCACAGAACAGCACATTTCTCCATCCGTTCACATTATGTCCACATTTACTTTCAGCAAATAGAAGCAGAACTGAGGCAGATGGAGCTGATCAAGGATCAGTATGAGAAAAAAAACTACGAGCAGGTAGCGGGCCGTCACACACTTTACCCCCACCCCCGGGCCCCCCTCCCGGGCTCACGGCTGGCTCCCTGTCTGTCCCGGCCAGTCCCTGAGCATCCAGAGGTTCATGTCAGAAACGAGCCGTTTGCAGAAGGAGGTGCAGCTGCTGGCCAAGAGCCAGCACGAGACCGCAGCCCAGAGCAGACTGCAGGAGCTGCGGCTGGTGGCCGAGCGCAAGATGAGGCAGCAGTTGGAAGGCCGGTGCCAGGTGAGGGGCCCGGCCGCTCTCGGCCAGCTGCAGACGCGAACGCATTCACAGATGGTTCATCGTAGAATGACGCTTTCTAGGAAGAGGCCTGGAGCTTGGAATACGGCATGTTTCTACGTGTTCCCACTACTGGGGACAGAACACAGGGCTTTTGTTGTTTTGTTTTGGGGTTTTTTTGTACCAGGGATTGAACTCGGGACCTTGTGCTTGTGAGGCAGGTGGTGGACCATTAAGCTAAATCCCCAGCCCAGGGATTTTGTAATAGGCTATATCTCCAGCTCTTTTTACATTTTTTTATCTTGAGTTGCCGAGGCTGGGCTTGAACTTGTAATCCTCCTGCCTCAGCTTCCCAGTGTGCTGGGCTTAGGTCTGTACCACCATGCCTCGCACCATCTTTAGTCTCATAAAAGTAATACTCATTTGCAGAGAACAACTGCTTGAGCTCACACATGCAAAACACCAGCTACTAGTAAGGTCTGAAGTGGGGGCCGTGCCCTTGGGAGTTCTGTCCCCCGGTTCTGCCCCAGCGCACAGATACCCTTGCTGCTGTGACAGGAGTCATGGGGTCCCCGGCCTAAGGCAGAGCACTGTATCACTGGAGGGCAAGGGTCACTGCTGGGAAAGGTCTCCGTTCTGCAGAGACACTGTCACTGTGCCGGCAGAGTGCAGGTTCAGCTGCAGATCGTTTAGAAAGGTGAAGGCCCCACCCCGCTTCTGTGACGTGGTTGCCATATTACAGTTCGAAGCTCTGTTGTTCCTGTGCCACCCCGGGAATGTGTAAAGTCCGTGTCGCATTTTCAGGAGCTGGAAGAAGCTGTGAGACACCTGAAGAAATGTAAAGAGGCGACAGAGAATAAACTGAAAGAAGCCAGTGCGGAGTCAGAGCAGGTGAGCACCATGGAGTCTGTCGGAGACCCCGAGTCCTGACGGCACACGGTAGGGTGCTAACCCTGAAGGCCACATATCCAGCACTGCCTGGAGGGGAAGACCAGTGTGTGCGTAGGTGTTAATGCTTTATCTGACGTGAGCCAAAGAGCAGGGTCTGTGATGCACGCCTGTAGTCCCAGCACCTGGGAGGCTGAGACAGGAGGATTGCTGCAAGTTGAAGGCCTGCCTAGACTACATAACAAGACCCTATCTCAAAACTAAAATAAAATAAAAATTTAAAAAGTGGAAACTGTACAGTCAGTAACTCGAAGTACAGATTATGCTGTTTGTGAACTTACTTCCTCTCCCCACCTGAAGTTGGTCTGTTTGAGGGTACATAGAGCCGCACACGGTTAGGGCCAGAAAGGAACTTGGTGCAGAGCATCACTGTGCTTTCTGCCAGCAGTGCGTGTCCCTGCTGAGAGACAGTACAGGATGTGACGTGACAAGCCTGAGGACACGCACCAAGTGTGTGTAAAGCTCAAGCCCACCCGTGTCCCTTACCTGGACTCCCAGCACGGGGGTGTGGGGGCTGAGGCCAGCCTGGCTACGTAGTGAGTTCAAGGCCAGTCTGCACTACACAGCGAGACCCTGTGCTTTAAACTTTTTTTTAAATGACTCATCTAGTGGATTCTTGAATGCGTTGCAAAGAGACTGCGGGACTCTCAGTCAGAGTCAAGGCCTCTTGCTGTCCAGGTTGCGTCTGCAGCACTGCCTGAGGCGCCTGTGCCTGTTCGTGTGCAGATATCCACTAACCTGGAGGAGGCGCACCGCTCGTTCAAGTGCAGGTGTGATGGCCTCCAACTGGAGCCGACAAGGAACCGGCCGCAGAGGCTTCCCCAGGAGGACGAGTGGCCGGAGGAGGTAGCGTTCGACTCTGGCTGGAGCCCGCGCTGCCTCCCACCCGGCCCGTCCGCTGTCCGGGAACGGGCGGCCGCGGGGTCCTGAGGGTTCTGTGTTTCCTTTCCCACAGGACAAAGACGCACACAACGTCCTGTCCACGCAGTCTGTTCTGCACCGCTGGGAGATGAAACAGAAACTTGGGCGTGGGCCCAGGCAGCACCCCTCGGAGGTCAACAGGAAAAAGTGTCCCTGATAGAGGGGCTGCCTCGGTGAGGCTCGCCCCCGGGGCCCTGAGCCGGACCGGGCCTGGCCTGGCCTACTGCACCAGGACAGGCGTCTGGTGTGGGCTCAGGAGCCGGCCCTGGTTTACCCTCCACGGACTCCTGTCTTACCACAGAGCCACCCCACCTTCCGTGTCCCTGTCCCTGTTTTCCACCCAATAAATTAGTTTGTTGTATGATAGGAGATGCCGTTGGACAATATGCAGCTGCGGTTTACTGTGCCGAGACCTGACCAGCAGGTAGTCCCGGAAGTCCAGTGGCCTGTGCAGCGGTCAGTCTTCCTGTCACTGACCGGACTGAGATGCCCGGAGGTGGCTGCCTCTCGGGCGCTGGACTGCACCACTGATGCGCACAGCTGCGTCTGGGGTGGGGCCTATGCAGCAGGTGGCTCTCCCTGGTGCTCTTTCCCCGTGCTCCGCTGCCCAGCCGGCTCTGCCCCCACGCCCCTCCACCATGGTGCCCCTGCCACACAGCCACTCGCAGAGGACTGTGGGAGACAGGCTGGGCAGCCTGTGGGGGTCAGGTGAAGCTCTCCTTCTGCTTAGTGTGGTGACTTCATGGCCGTGTCCACTTTGAAACTTGTCATTGGGTCTACGGCCATACCACCCTGAACATGCCCCATCTCGTCTGGAACTTGTCATTGGCTCCTATGCTTAGGGTTTGGGTCCTTTCCCTAAGGAGACTGTGCCTGCACAAAAGCTCCATTGATAACAGAATGTGAAGATGCAGTCATTAAAACCATTGGGTACTGGCTCAGAAGTGGACAAAACCGAGTCCAGAAGCAGCCCAGAGGAGGTCTGTGGTCACGCGCTGTTCCCCGAGTTGCGGAACCGTCTGCTGCTTTCCCATGGAAAGGCCTGCGTTTACTTCCCACGTCGTCTGCCGAACACCCACGGGTGGCCATCAACTCTGTACGGCAGAGCTGCCTCGGGTGGATGAGATTCCAGGTGAGCGGCAACCCCTGGACTGGGGTCGCGGGTGGACGGCAGCGCCTGGTGGGAAGCGAGGCTTCGCTCCTCCGCTGTGTCGCCCTGGTGACCAGGCTGTCCTTGCTGTGGACGCTGTGTGCGTGTTCGTGGGCCGTCACGGCTGTATCGGTTCCTTCGGTAGCGCTGCTCTGTATTCTGCCTGTCACTCGAGGTCCGGGACAAGCTCCTGGGCTGCGGCAGGGGCCCCGGCTGGTCCCACATCTGCCCTCTGGTGCCAGGTGGGGCTGTCGGTGGTGTGAGCTGCAGGCGCGGTCAGTGCTGGGGCGCTAGAAGTGGGTCTGGGTGTCTGTGGCTCCCGCACGCAGGGGGTGACGGGACGAGCCCGAGGCTGGGAAGTTTCTCTGGGCTGCACTGCCCGAAGCCGGCCCCCGTGTGCCAGCGCTTCCCGGGCGTCCCTGGTGCCCCCTGTCCTAACCCGCGAGGGTTCACGTCCATCCCCTTCGCCCTTTAGGGTCTTCTTTCCCGAAGACAATCCAACTTTATTTTGAAGTTTGATGTTGGCTTCAGTGGGGGGCCAGGGGGCAGTCAGTTTGTTAAGCCAAGATTTAAAATTTGAGTTTAACAAAAAGATGCCATGAAAATAGTGAAAGTGCTGTCACAAGGCTTCATACTGTGTTAACGCCTACAAGTCAAGAAAATAGGACCCAATTTTTTAAAAGTACACAATATGGTAGCGATTCTGAGAAGAAAAAAATATCCAAAAGGTTTATAAAACATATAAGACAGATTTCAGCCTCACAGGTACAAATGAAACAACTGTTTGGGGGGTTTTGTTTTACTTTGCTTTACCTCCCAGGTGGGGAGGGGAAACACCAAGTTTGAAGCAGGTGCGGGGAACGGCGATCCTCACACTCTGTAGGGCCCTTTGGGAAGGGCCATGGCACGGGAAGTACCTGTGCCTGTGTCCCCATTCCTAGATACACAGGGAGCACGCAGAGTCCTTTCTCCCTGGGAAGGTGTGTTCCTCCTAATGCAATTGATTTCTTTGGGGGGATGCTGGGGATTGAACTTGGGTCCTTGCACTTGCAAGACAGGTGGTGGAACCACTGAGCTAAATCCCTGGCCTTAGAAAGGTGTGTTCCTGTGAGCCTTACACATCCTTGGAGGAAAACTTTAGGCCTCTGTGTATGAACCATGTGCAAGACATATGTTGTAGTTTACCTCTGAAATGCTCCCCAAAATCCTGTGTGGAAGGGGGTGGGTCACTGGGTGCTGTACCACCAGTGATTCATCTGTGGTTGGGTTTGTGGCTGAAGGTTCTGTAGGTGTTGGGTCCTGGTGCAGGCCGTCCCTGGGGTGTGTCCTGGCGGGGCGTGTTCCTGTCCTGGGCTCCTACCTTCTCCGTTACTGGCTGCCATGAGGTGAGCAGCCGTCCCCCACGAGGCCCATCCGCCGTGTTTTTCCAGCCGACCGCGGGCTGAGCCCTCTGCAACCGTGAGCCAAGATAAGCCTCTCCTCTAAGCTGCAGCTGTTGGGCATTTTGCTGGCTACTTTTCCGCTGGGAAAAGAGTAACAAGCTGGCCTGCCCACTGGCCGCCTGGCACTGACTGGCACCGCTTCGGGCTTCCCATGTACACACACTGTGCTGCTGTCTTCTCGGTCATGCCTCTAGGAAGAGAGTAGGGTAGAAGAGGAAAGAGATTGTCACTGAACTCGGCGGCCATTCTCAGGGTATTCTGGACTTTGAACGTCTCCTGGATTAGTCTCTGTGACGTGCTCTCCCGACTCAATCCCAAACTAGAGCCCTTTCTAGGCCTTCCTGTCTTGTGGCACAGCATTTGAGGGCCGGAGGACGGACAGCCCAGGCCTCCCCTAGGTGTGACAGCCATCGCCTTGAGCTTGGACCTTCCGTGAGCACCACGGCCCCTCTGGTGGTGACAGTCACCTGCCGCCTTGGACAGGAGAGCCCCGACTCTTCCGTACCGTGCGCTGGCTGTGGGAGACGCTTCAGCTGTGGAGGGGCTTACACAGAAATGCTCATCTCTTGCTGTCCAGCCCTTCCTAAACTACAAGAACAGTGGGTCCTCGACTTACAGTCGAACTCAGTTTGTTCTTAAGGGCCGGCTGTAAGCCAGGTTGGTCGACTGAAGGCTCAGGCTCCTCTACACAGCCTTCAAAGTCTGCTGTACACAGGCAGATCTGTGTCCGTAGAGAGACACTGGCCAGGATTAACCCCATACAGGATATTGTCATGTTTCTTCCCTGACTCTGTAAGAGTTAAATCTGTTTTTTGTTTTGTTTTTTGTAGTTCAGACTGCCCTGGACTGCACTATGTAGCCCAGGCTGGTCTCAGACTCAAAGTGATCCTCCTGCCTCAGCCTCCCAAGTGCCGGGATTACAGGTGTGCGCCACCACACCCAGCTATAAGGGTTAAATCTGTATCTGAGACCATCTGGAAGCACAAGCGGCCAGCATTTGGGTCATAACTTGATTTTGTTCATAAATTAAATTCTGGTCATGACCCAAGTTGTCTGTATGTCAGGTCGGGCATAACTCGAGGGTCTGCTGTCCTGCTGTGCTAGCTCTAGAGGGTGGGAACACAGCTGCCCGCCCAGCCAAGCTGCTGGGGTGCCTTGCTGTCCTCTCAGGCTGCTGTAGGGGTGGTGGCCCTGTGCCCTTCGTACTCCTGCTCACCTGCCCGCCCGCCCTCTGGACTGCTGAGCTGGGGTTTCCTGGGGAGCCCGCAGCTGCCTGTCCCCGGGCACTGTGAGGGCAGGGTCATTCCTACCCTCGCGGGTAACACAGCTTCTCGGCAGTCACAGGCATGGTGCCTCACCAAGTGTGGACTTGGCCTGGGCCTGGCCCCCTGGAGGCAGAGGCCCTAATTGGTGGCTCCAGAAAAGAAGCTGCGGGGCTCTGGGAGGTGACAGTGGCGCCTCCGGGCGGAGAGGGCACCCGGGAGGCCTCACCACTGCTCGCTCTCTGCCACTCACCCCACTGCACTCCCTGGACTTTGGAGGTGCGAGGGCCTCTGACGGGCGATGCCTTGAAAGGGTTCGTGGGGATCTGGCCCTGTTCTTCCTCTCCCTTTGCTTCCCTGCAGCCACCAGGGGAGCAGCCTCCTGTACCAGACTCCCACCTTGGGAGCAGCCTCCGCACGGCACTGAGCAGCAGCCCAGCTGACCGTGGACCGAGTCCCAGAGCCGAGAACCAGATCAAATCGTTCCTCTCTTTATGCTGACGGATCTTTATTTTGCCACTAACAGCTGTTTCAGGGAAGTGGAATCTGGAGGTGCAGCCATGGCTGTGACGATACCACAGAACGTGGAGGAGCCTTTGGATTTAGCGTGGCGTTCAGGCCACAGAAAGCCTGGAGTGCTGCAGTAGAGCGTAACGGCGACTCTGGCGAGGACTGGAGCCGTGACGGGACAGGCTGTGCCCACGAGGCTTTCAGTGGCAGGAAGGACTCCGGCGCCTTGGCAGGGTCCGAGTATGTTAAGTCCGTGCCCTCAGTGGGAGACTTAGATGAAGGTGACCGACGAGGTGATCGTGGAGAAACTCAGGGCCGTGGGCCCCAGTGGCGACTGAGCCAGACTCTCGTAATCGGGAGCGAAACTGGGAACTTGCAATTCAGACAGGAGCAGAGGCGCCATTAGAGCCCGCGGGTGCAGGGAGTGGTGTACACCTGTGATCCCCATTCAGACACCGAGGCAGTGGACAGACGTCAGGCCAGCGAGGGCCTCATTAGGGGGGTCTGACTAGGAAGTGAGAGACGCTGACTCAGAGGACGAGAAGATTGGGAAGGAAGACGGAGGAGAAAGCCCCCAGATACAGTATTTTGTCCTGGGACAACAGGAAGGGAGCCTTAGGGGACACACTGCAGACTCAGAAGTGTGAAAGGTCAGCCGTGCTTCTGCTCACACCAGCGCTGGTCTGGGGATTGTGTCCTGGAGGCCGCTGCCTGTGCTCCAAGCCGGCCTGGGTACAGCTCACGCCAGCAGCAGGCCCGGATGGCACCATCCAGTGGTGCTGGTTCACAGGTGTGCCCAGTGCAAGTCACAGATCATAGGAGAGCCAGGCAGGGGGCAGGGTGGCACGGTCCCAGATGGGATGGTGCATGGTGCTGTACAGGAAGCCAAAGCCACATCGGAGACCCGTGGGAATGCTGCTGGGGGAAGTGGAGGGCAGCGAGTAGAGCCGCAGGGCCAGGTGCCCACGTCCTGTTGCCACGCACTGCCCTGCTAGGTTTCAGCCTTGCTTGTCTGACCTCTCCTATTCCTCTTGTGGGATGGGAATGTTAACGCTCTACAGTGGTATCTTGGACTTGGACTTTTACTGGGATTCACGGCTGCGTTTTTCTTTCAGGAGACTTTGGACTTGGGCTTTGTGCAGAGCTGGAACCCTGGAGGCTTCAGAGACATTTAGACATGACAGTGCCTGTCCTTGGGGTGGGGCCTGGACGTTGTAGCCAGGGTCCTGATGTTCCCCAGTTGCCCACATGTTGTCCTGTCCCCACCAGCAGTGGTACTAGGAGCCGCAGGGCCCTGTAGGCATTTGTCAGAGGGCGTCCCCTCCAAGGGGACAGGGTGCTGGGCCTCATCTTCCCTGCTCCCCAGCCACTGTGCAGCGAGCGGCCTCCTCGTCCCCGAGCCCAGTGCTGTGCTGCCTCACACGGGCACCAGAGCAGCAGGCCACCTGCCAGGGCCTGAAGCCTCCAGAGCCGGGAGCCCAGCTGAACTGGTGCAGAGCTGATTCCCTAACAGGAACAGGAACAGGAAGCTTCACTAACCCCGCACTGCCTGGGGCAGCGCCGACTGTGTCAGTAACAGATGCAGGTGCTGAGCAAACCCTCCTGCTCACGTTGCCCAAGAGGCCACGGGTGCTTCCGCACTCTTGTTGCTCTAATGGTTTTTAATTAGGTGCTGGGACACCACCGCGTGGCGATAAATTCTTTTAAGTGTGCGTGCTGTGAAAACGAGGCTGAATGAAATGCAATGGATCAATTAGGGGTTTTTGGTGCCACTGTAAACATCAGAGCAGTTCTTAAACAATCAAGGGTACCTTTAGGATAAACCCAAGGGCAAGAATGTGGCTGGCCTTGGGAGGAGCTAAGACAGAAACCTGCAGGAATCGGTACAGCGGACCCTTACTTAGAATCAGTTCCCGAGGGCTGCTTATAGCTAAGCAGAGCTGAGATCTGGATGTTTCCCTGGGTACCCACTGTAGATAACAAGAGGCAGATGGACCTCCACTAACCTAATAACCCAAGCTGTTCATGTGTCAGCTGTCGTAACTTGAGGGTCCCTGTACATCTTTCCATTTCTCACCCCCCCACCTAAGCCCCTCTCCCCTTCCCGACAGATGGGGTGACTGCTGGTTGGCCACAGTGCACTCTCAAGTTACAGCTCATGGAGAAAGAAGCCCCGTCCACCCTGAAAGTCCCCAAGGGAGGAGGAAGCCGCCAGCCAACTGCAAAGCAGCGCTGAGGAGTGACCTTCAAGCAGCAGCAATGTCCCCGTGTTCAAGCGGCACTGGGACCTGGCTGACATGGACGGGACACAGGTAAGCTCTCCCCTGGGAGACATTCTCCACAGCGCGTCCTCAGGAGGAAGGCCAGGTCCTCGTGTCTGACTCAGCTCAGCCTCTTAGGCTGAACAGCTGTCCCTGTACAGCTCTGCCGTCGCACCTGGGTGACCAGGTGGCAAGGACAGACACACGCTGTGCTGGGTTCCTCAGCACTGCACCAGCTGCGGGAGCACAGGGTGCACCGGCACATGGGGACCGGGGTTTTCAGTGTCAGCACCTACCTTAGAAAACATTCACCTGGTTTCCTCCAGAGCCATGTGACAGACACAAACCCAGCTACCCAAGTCCATGTGGCTGACACACACACACACACACAGGTGAAAAGATGACGCGAGTTGTCTCCTTCGGTCACAACCTTTCTACGACACTGTGTTACCCACCTGGTGTCACGGTCTCCGCCTGTCTGCCTACAGCCTGTGGCCCGGCAGGCTTTACTCCCAGGGAACTGAACACAACGCACCCAACAGCTGGACCCGACCACCTCTGCACCCCAGGACAGGCAGTCGTCACTGGCGGCCGATGGCCCGCAATGAAAACAGCAGTGTTCTGTAAAACAGGGCTTAGTCAGGCCTGGTGGCGCACACCTGAGGCAGAGGCAGGAAGGACGCCACGAGTTTGAAACCAGCTTGGGCTACAAAGCAAGACCCCATCTCAAAAAAATCAAAAGCCCAAATAAAAGCAGTATTTATTTACATTACATATACACAGAGCAGATGATATATTTACTTGTTTCAAACTCCACCTCTAGACTAGAAAAGTGTAGGTCCTTACAAACATCAGGAAGACTTCCCAGAGAGCTGGCTGTTGTCTCTCATCTCCTGTCTGTTCCTTCTCGCAGCAGGACTGGGTGTTACCACCATACGCACTTATCACAGCACCCTGAGACACTGTCAAGCCCACAGTACATCTAACGAGTACCTTTACTTGCCACTTCAGCAATTCTTTACCCCACACAGCTTCCCAGTCTTTCCTGCAGTCCCGGGGACCCTGGATGGAAACCGTGCTGAACTACTGAACATGATCTCGGGTTTATCTTGGGAAGCTGTCTATACCCGGTGCGTGGCCTTGGAGCCTCCACCAGTGCGGCTGAAATGCATGCACGTTAAAAGAAATACTGAATTTGGCCTTTGACCATATACCGCTTTAAATGATTTTGTTAGGTGCAGATTTGAGCAGCTGCCTTCCGTCTGTGTCGTGGAAGGACCACCTCCCCTCACAGCAGCAGGCTGCAAGAACTGCACGGGCGCCAGCTCCCCTTGCTTTCCCATAAACACACACTCGGGTTAGGATTTAAAGAACTGTGCTGAAAGGGCCAGGGATGTAGCTCAGTGGCTCTGTGCCTGGCAAGCGTAAGGTCCCCAGTTCAGATTCCTGGTACCAGAAAACTGAGTGGCAGGTGCCTCAGTAGTCAGGAGTGTGGCCAGAGTGTAGCTAAAAAGCCACAGGCAAGGCGACACTTAAATTCTGACTGTTCCCAGCAGCCATCCAAAGGCCGCACTGTACAGGGTGATGGCGCAGTAAGTCACTGTCCACGACACACAAGTGAGTCTGTTACAGTAGAACTATTTCATAAGCCCACTGTGCTAAACGCAGAGGTGAACAAGGAAAACAACTCCACACTGACTCAAGGGTAATTCTGTCCATTTCAGCACTGGGGACAATTTTCCTACAGAATGCTAAAGGAAAATGATGAAGTTATGCGAACTTACATGCAAAATGTATGTATGAACCAGGACAGTGAAGCACTCTGCTGTTGAACAGTGGAAGCCAAGGTCCGCAGCGGAGCAGTGCGGCTGAAGGTGAGAGAGCTCAGCAACCACTCCCCCGCCGTGGCCGGGGACGGGCGTCACATGGTGCAGTAGGTGAACAGGAGGTACCGGGCCATGAGTGCGTTCCCGCTGCTGTGGTAAATGAGGGCCAGGTTGTAGGCGATGTCTCTTCGTAAGTCCACCTGCTCGACCTCTATTCCCTGGGAGGAAAGAAGGGAGTATCTGCACATCTCAGACTGCCAACAGGACAAGTTCACAGCAAACCGTTCTTAAGGTAAGTTGCAAGCCTAGGCTATGGGTGCCAGGCATAAGGCCAGGTGCCCAGCCTTGCCACTCACGTGCCGGAAGCAGGGGAAGCATGCTTTAAAACCAGCTGCAACCCATTCCGCTGGGAGTGGAGGGACCACAGTACTGGTGCCTGCATTTCTCTAGCTGGGTCAGACAAATACCTCTGCCTCCAACGGTGGGAGCTCCAGCGCCTCCTGGTAATAGTGAATGGCGAGGTGAGTCAGCCCCAGCTGGTGCAGGGCTCGGCCCAAATTGTAGAGTGACTCCTGGCACCGTCCACGCAGGCTGAGGTACCGATTAAGGAAGGCAAAGCCCTGCCGGAAAGAGAATGAAGAGCTCACCTCTCTGGTAAGGACGCCTGGGCCACTGCCTGTGCGGGGAGCTGGGAATCCAAATTCAGATACAATTGTGTGGCTAGGGATGTAGCTCAGTGGTGCTGCTGCTTGCCTCATAAGCACAGGGTCCCAAGCGCAATCCCCAGTACCAAATAAATAAATGTAAAGTCCTGCCCCACAGAATACCTAACATCACAGATCTCAGATGCATCAAATAGTATAAAAAGTGTCGAGGACACGGTGAACAAAGACTAGATCTCTGATGTCAGCAGGGCACGATGGTGCACAGTACAGTCCAGTATTCTGGAGGCTGAGACACGAGGATCAAAAGTTTGAAAGACTAGTCTCAAAACAATAAAAACTCTGATCTCTGAAGAGTTTATAATCTTATTAGACAATGCAAGTCATGTTAGAAGTATTTTTTTGAGGGCCAGGGATGTAGCTCAGCAGCTCTGAGCCTGCCTAGGTTCAATTCCACCTGGTATCAAAAGTTTTTTTTATTTTTATCAGAACTAAGAGGTAATTTGTTGTTATGGTGCTGGGACTGAACAGGTGTTGGACATTTGTAAAGACACTGAAGTGAATCAGGCAGAGCACAGCTGAGGCCCTCACGACTGCAGAGTGGAAGAGCCAGCGTGGTGGTGAGGGGCGTCCAGTGTGACGGCTTCAGGACCCGCTCAGGGCTCCTGGTGTGCCTGGGTGGTCATGGAGCCTGGCCTCGGCATGCATGTCTGCTCCCTTGCACTGTTTGCCGGCTGCCACGAACTGAGTACTCACACCCTTCTGCCGTGGTGCTTCCTTGGAGTCAGAAGATCGTGGACTCAACCATGGGCACATTAAACCTCTCCTCCTCTAACTGGTGGGTGTCAGCTGTTGCACCTCAGTGACAAGAAAGCAGCTAACACAGAAAACAGAAGTGGGGCTGTGACCATACCTGATTTAGAAGCATTTGGAAGAGGTTTGTGGGTGTAGTTTGGAAAGATTTGTAGATGCCATCTAGAAAAGCCCCCAGAATGTTATAAACTAAGCCTGATGGAAGATTCTGGTCAGACCTCAAAGACCACAATGCTGACAGGAATTCAGACAGTAAAGGCCAGGCTCAAGGTTTCAGCTGGAAAGGAGAACTCCAATGGTAGCTGGACTAGAAGCCACATAGGTCATGCAAGGACAGAAAATTTGTCCACATTTTCGCGCAAGTCCTGAGATTTTGCAGGAGACCAAAATTAAGAGCACTTGATTAACGTAGCAGAGTAAATTTCAAAACAGCCTGGCTGTGGCATGGGTACTACTGGCTGCTTTTAGCCAGATTCATAGAACTGGGCGCAGAGGTGAACAGAAAAATTTGAAAAACTTAAATTTTGGCTCAGAAGGAGCTGTGTGTAAAACTGGAGCCAAAAGAGGTATGGCTATTAGAGACCAGCACCATTAAAAAGAAACCCAGTAGGGCTGGGGATTTAGCTCAGTGGTGCCCGCACCGGCCTCACAAGTGCAAGGTCCTGAGTTTGATCCCTGCTACCAGGAAGAAAGGAAAGTCTCAGAACAAAAACCAGTACTTTGTTCGTACTTTTACATCCTCTCAGATCAGTAAGATCTCATTCACTGCAGGCTCAAGGGTACAAAGGTGTCAACCTTTCTTTTTGAGAACAGAGTCCCTGGGACCCCTAAGACAATTGGTTCCCCAGGACTCACTTCACTGTGCTCAGCCACCCAGAGCCCACTGCCTCCACTGAGAGCCGATGTCGGCATCACCTACGTGATGCTGGTGTTGCTGGTGCAGAAATGGGAGCTGTGGGAGGCTTCCCACAGACTGCAAAGGAACGCCCGGAAGGCCAGGCAAGGAGCCCTCAAAAAGGCAGTGAATGGAGCCCGGGTGCAGTGCAGACCCCACGAGGTCAGAGAAGCCCGGGATGTAGAATACCTGCCAAGGAAAGCTTCAGGCTCCAGGCGAAGCCAGCACTGGAGCAAGGCAGAATCCGGTGGGACCGGTGAGGTCACAGGAATGGGGCTGCCCGAGTCCTAGGAACTCACTCTGACCGCCGTAAGATGCCTGTCAGACACGGTTCCGGTCCCTCTTTGGTCCAGTCCTTGTCTACTCCCCATTCCTCTCTTTCGGAACAGGAATGTTTTGCCTGTGTCATTCTCCCTCGGGATTATGTAAGGAGGTTTTGACAATGACAGAGTTCCCTAGAGTTGGCCTGGAGCTTCAGAAGAGACTTGGACTTTTAAAAAGGCTGGAATGGAGATTACTACGTTTCCAGCTGTATTATGCTTGGTGGAAGCGTGACTTTGCTTGGAGACTAAGCACGGTGTAATGTGTTCCTGCCGGCGGTCCACACACACCACCAGGGATTCAAGCTGGCAGGCACACGGCATGTTCCCACCACAGGTGCCCAGCAGTGAGAGATGAATTATGGCCCCACATGAAGGTGTCGAACAGGGCTTGGAGCCAGGCATGGTGGCGCCCGCCTGTAATCCCAGCACTTGGGAGGTTGAGGCAGGAGGATCGCTGTGGGCTCGAGGCCAGCCTGAATTACAGAGGGGTTGGGTTGCCATGAATGAACTGAGAGCTTCACTCCACTACCGCCTTCTGCCGTGAAGTCCCTGCTCAAAGCCAGCAGATCATCAACTAAACACACAAGCAAACAACTTCTCTTTAGGTCACGGGTGCCTCAGCACAGGGAAGGGTGACTAATACAGCCATGTGTGGACTTTGCCGGGACTTTTTCTCCTGTGATCTGGCCGCGTATCTGCCGTACTGCTACAATAAATGCATCGCGGCCATGTGCACAGCTCTATGCAGAGTTCCGTGAGTGCCAAGCATGGCATCAGGCTGGGTACTCTCAGTATGTACACCAAGTAGTATTGTGTTTGAAGGAGGATTTTTAAAAAGCATCGAACATATGCATTTTCAAGGAACACAGAAATGAGAAATCCAAACAAATTACCTGCACAATGAGAGCATGTCTCTTCAACACGTACTTCTGGGAAGCCATGTGAATAAAAGTCAGGCCTATACACAGGTTGTAGAGAGGTTCATCACGGCGGGCACGAAAGGCCTGGATATACTGTGCTGGGACACGGAGAGGTGATTCATGAGTAGGGTTAATTATCAGAATGAAAGAAGAAAAAACAAGTTTGTTTTTCAGGTTTTTTTTCTGAACTTAGCAACTATTTTTCCTGAAAAGCTAATTATCTAGTAATATGGAGTTATAGGAACTCTATATTGTGTGTGTGTGTGTGTGTATATATATGCAAATTTTTCTCCCAAAGGAATAATCTGTACCTCATGCTACACAAAGAACTTCTCTTCCAGAAGGGTTGGCACTAGTCTTTAGCAGACTGTCACCTGGACTATTCCATTTTCACCACGTGTAAAAGTTGCTAACACAGGAAATGACCTCAATTTAAATTACGTGTTGTAGCAGAGGAATGTTTTCACACACGATGACTGACATAATGGCTGAGAAATCACGGAAACATCCGCCACACACAACACGAAAGTAGTTGAGAGCCCAGGCACAGTTTATGCAGGAGCAGACACGGCCACACTGCCTTCAGGCAGTAAAGATATGTGGCCAATTTTAAACATGTGATTAGGTATTTTGCTGCTTGTTTCTTATGATCCCTCATTACAGAAACTTATTATAAAGGATTAACAAATTTTCCTTAACTAGAATTTCTAAGCATATAAAAATCTTGCCCTGATGAAATGACTATCAAGAAATCTTAAATCCTTTTTTGCATTATCAAACTAAAATCAGGTGACAAAGCATCTATAATTAGTGAAAATTATTATAATTATTATTATTTTGGTACCAGGGATTGAACTCAGGACATCGCACTTGCCAGGCAGGTGCTGAGCTACACCCCTGGCCTCAATGAAAATTATTTTTTAAAATCTTACTGAGTTTATACTTTTTAAGTATACAGTACAGTTACATTCATCACTGGAATCTTGTACCTCTACAGGACAGATCGTAGCTCTTATTTTTTCTCCATACCCCTGCCCTCCCTTAAATCAACTTTTTTGGTACTGGGGATCAAACTTGGGACCTTGTGCTTGCCAGGCAGGTGCCAGAACAACTGAGCTAAATCCCCAGCCCTGAAAATTATTTTTAAAACAAGTGTAAGCAAGGAGAATTACTAACCTTTAAAATGAACTATAAAAGGGCTGGGATGTAGCTCAGTGGCACAAGTGCAAGGTTCTGAGTTCAGTCCCCAGTACCAATAAATAAATAAGATGAATAAGGTCTACACTAGCCTTTTAAAAACCACACTAACAAAGTACCATCCTTGTCAACAGTGGTACCTTGGTATACACACCTGTCTTCTACGACCCTGGAAAGGATGGCCACGTTTGTGTTTGTGTGGGGAGGGTGGCTGCAGTCGTGTCTGTCACCGATGCAGAGTATGCAACAAAAGCGTCTGCAAACCCAAGGTGCCACTGCAGTTCTTACAGCGTTTACGCTACGTACCAGACACTGTTGTAAGTAGGTTTATTAACTCCTTTAATTTTCACAATATCTACAGGTTAGGGCCAATGACTATCTTCATTTTGCAGATAGAGGAACTGAGCAGAGGGAGAAGAGTAACTTGCTCTGGAGAAGCTGACATTAAACCCTCAGTTCTGCTGTAAGGCCAGGTCCTTAAGCCTCCCTCTCTACTCCTCACAGCCAGGCCAGGACACTTACCGAGCGCGTGCTTAAAACTGCCCGATACAAATGCGTTGTGTCCGTTCAAAACACACAGGGCGTGGTTATCTGGGTTTTTCAGCATGAGGCGGAGACAGAAGCGATGGTGTCGTACATCTTGGGAGCGCATGGTAACTTGGTTGAAAATATTCCAGAGCTGGGGTTTATTCACATTTTCCATTACCATTATCCTACAATTGCAGGAAGAGGTAAGGGGAAATCGTATATAAAGACATTCTGATTTCTCGGAAGGAAACCTTCAGCGCTGTCCTCCCACACTGAAATGTACCACTCCCACAAGGAGAGCAGACTGCTTCCATTTAAGTGAAACTTCTTACTTAACAGAAGATTTATCCTGGAAAATGCTGCCGGTTTACATTCTGTTTCTGCGTTTCAATAAAACCTTTACACTAAACCAAACCTAGAAATGGTTCAGTGTCGTCTTTTCTCTCCCTGCCCACAACTGCTAGACCAGTGGAGACTGGTGATCACACGTTCCAAGCAGTACTAAAGGCTTTCTATGCAGCCAGATGTGGGGCACAACTGCAACCCCAGCATTCTAGGATGCTAGAGCACAGGGAACGTTCAGTTCAGGCCTAGCCTGAGTGATACAGTGAGACCCCACCCCAAAAATAAAACGATTAAAAGTAACTCAGTGCCACCGAAAATTAAATTTTATTGAGCCCACATAAGAGGTGTACTATGAGGTGGCAGAAATGGAGAAGGTAAGTACCCAGATCACATAGCCAGAGTGTCAAGGTGGGGATCCGAACCCCGAAAATCTAGCTCAAGAGCCCAGGCTCTTTAAGAATTACCAATGAACTGAACCAGTAAGCAACAAGCATGTGTCAGTTCATTAGGACAGTATGTATGCATGCTATCAAGTAATCTACTTAAAATAAATTATTAGAAAGTAGGGCCAGGGATTTAGCTCAGTGGTTCCGCCGCCTGCCTTGCAAGCGCAAGGACCCGAGTTCGATCCCTGGTCCCCCCCAAAAAAAAGAAAAAGTCACCTGATGTAGTTGTATGCCTTTCTGAAATTTTTGTCCAGAATTGCAGCTGACAGACCAAAGTACTCCAGTTCTTTGCGCTTTTGCCTATCGTCATAAAATGAGTAATATTCCAACGAAGAATCTACCAGCAACTCGGCCTCTTGAAATCGGGACAGGTCACATAAGGAGTAGATGGCCTTCAGCAAAAGGTTCCACCAGTCATCCTTTGGCAGGACACTCGTGAGCACAGCAAATATTGCTACAATGAGCAAATGAAGCCAGTCAGAAAATAACACTAACAGCAAGGGAAATTCACACCTCCAGCTCTAAGATAAACTTCATAAGCACCGTCCTGCAGGCCTGAGTTCTTGCTAACAAGTCTGACAAAGGCAGAAAGGTCCCCTCTCGTGGGTACTCTCTCAGCACCGTCCCCTTTGTGACCCCAAGGACTACTCACAGTGGCAGTGTTGCCCAGTGCCAGCTGGGGCACCGTCTCTGGGCGAAGCGCACATTCTTCCGTCAGGAGCCTTTCTACACAATTTGCGGGAAAATATCATTTCACAATTAAATTCTGATTAGGGCCGTGTGAGGCCTCCATGGTCCTGTGATGCTGGGACACTCGAGGGCAAGATTACGCCAGCTGAGGACGCGCCGCTCTGCAAGAGCCTTGGTAACACCAAAAAGAGAGGTCTCCACTGGGGATGTAGCTCGGTGGTGCCGCCGCCTGCCTCGCAGTGCAGGGACCCGAGTTCGGTCCCTGGTGCCAGAAAGGTCTCAGCTGGCAGGGGATCCCTCAGCGGCTGACTTCAGCCCACCTGCTGCTGTAGGAAGGCTCTGCTCCTCTCGTGTCAGCCCAGGTCCTCGTCCTCACAGGACTCACAGGGTCACCGCCACGCTCCCCTCCGAGTCATCTGACACTTCTGGATTTTAAGATCCTCGGCCAGTGTCGCCACCCGGTCCTGATTCTCCCTGTGAGCCCAGTGAACGGAGGCCCATCCGGAGGCCCTGACCTCCGGCCCCGTACTCACCCTTCAGCCCTCGCTGCCCCTTGCCGGCAGTTGGAGGACTAACGCGGACACAGTGCAGACGGGTGTCAGGCCTGCTGGGCAAGCCAGGCCGGGCTCACACTGTGACTCGGGTTTTCTCTGACCCAATCTCAACTGTCCTATCTCTGCCTTTACATTTTTCTTTTCCTTTAAAAACCTTACCTTATTTCTCTATAAGAAACCTTAACCTTAAAAAAATAAAAGTTTTTTTACTCTCTTTGATCCAGTAATTCTCCTGGGAATCTGTCCAATCAAAATGTGAATACATATATGAAGATGCTTACTAGTTATTATTAATTATCAGATGCAATCACTGAAAAATAAGACAATGATTAAGTTATGAACTGCTGTCCAGTGGGATGCTCCACAGTCCTAAAATACAATTGCTGTAAGGACAGCGTCTGAGGACATTTCTGGGAGGGGAAGTATCAGAGCACAACCTTGCCTGTGACCTGCAGAGTTGTCTCCTCCTAGTCCAACCTAATCCCCACCCTGATAAAATCAGCAAAACCTTATGAATCTAAGAAAGACCAATGATAGACCTGAAATAAGCAATCAGTGAAAAAACAGGCAGGTCAGAGGTAGAGCAAACTAACTTTACAGGAAGGTGATCCAGAACGCACACTGCCAAGGCAGGGCAAGTGGCCGGAGAGCTGGCCGGGGCTCCGGGAGCCTGCGGAGTGTCTGCTGAATTAACTAACGAAGCCTTCTTCTCCCTGACAGACCTAGCTTGCAGCCCAAGTCATTCCCAAAGGTCTCTCTCTGAGTAATAACCTCACCCAAGCATGCCAATGCTTTCTCCAATTAAAACAGAAGCCTCCAAGTCCTAACCCGAGACTGCTCACAACCTATTTCAAAGAGCTTCTGTGAGGATCACTAGCTTTGTCAAAAACGAGTCTGTAACTGAAAGGGCTGGACAAAGAGCCCTACTCTTACCTAATCTTCACAGATTTCTTACAAGTACTTCTTAAAAAGTAAAAAAAGTTTTATTTTACTCGTGTCACACAAAGACTCAAGCAAATGTTTTCCTCTTGCATTGCTGGCGACTGAACCCAGGGCCCTTGCACTGAGCTGTATCCCCAGCTTCTTTCCTCTCGTTAAGCTGCTAACTGCCCAAGCAGGGCACGAACTTGTGATCCTCCTGCCTCATCCTGCCGGTGTTGAGTCATGGACACGTGCCAGCTTCCTATAAATGCTTTTAAACTGAAGTACAGTAAATCCCCGACTTAACAAACATCCGAGTTACAGACTTTCACAGGACTTAGGAACAAATCCAACGTTCACATGTCAGGAACTTACTGGACATGTAGTCTTTTAGCAGCTTATTATATGTCAGGTATCTACAGTTGAAAATTTCATTTTATTACAAAAGGGTCTATTTTCCATGAGATTTCCTACCAGTTGTTACTTCCTGAGTCTTTCAGTTCAGCCAAGTTGTCTATAATAAAGCAAGTGAATTACCTTTTGCGTCACAATTTGCTGTCTCTTGGTCATTGTTGTCTGATATTTTGTCTCGTGATACTTTCATAAGGTACAGATGTCTCTCTCCAGATCTGGAGCTGGATATCAAGCAGACCTGGGCTCTATTCATAGCTACCTGAATTGAAGATGATAATTAGGTACTTTTTAGTCAATTTATTAAAAACCAATAAACCATAAGCACTATGTGCATGAAAACTTTCCTACGAAGGGAAAGAGCAGTCAAATTACTGTATTAAATACACGCACACACACGCACAAGCACACATCTAAAAGTACTGTGAATTACTGTTTTCTTACCAAAAGAATTTTGGGGGGGGGTCACAGTATTCACCTTAGAAGGAAAAGAAATCAATTCATGTTCACTTTACAAAATGTGCAGAGCTGGGTGTGGTGGCTCTCACCTAGGACCCCAGTACTCAGGAGGCTGAGGCGGAGGGGCTGTCATGAGTTCAAGGCCCGCCTGGGCTATATAGTTGCGTTCAAGGCCAGGCAGAACTACACAGCAAGACTCTGTCTCAAAATACTAAAAGAAAAAATAACACATGCAGGGGAAGACTGGGGTGGGGGCGGGGGGTAAAGCACACACCTGCCTACTTCCTGCCAAAGCCAGACTAAAAGGTACCCGTCTGGAAGGCATGGTACTGTGTACTGCTCCGGATGTGGTCTTACTTTCCTCAGTGAGTACCAGGCAGGATTTTACTTCAATTCTCCAGGTGAATTTATACGATCATGTCGAAAGAACTTTTAACTGTACACCACCAAATTCTAAGTCTCATTTTTAACTGACTTTAAAAAGTGTAATAGTGGGCCTGGATGTAGCTTCAGTGGTTCTGCCACCCGCCTCGCAAGCGCAAGGTCCCAAGTTCGATCCCCGGTACCAAAAAAGAAAAAATAGTGTAACAGAGTTGTCATAGTTACTTTTCTCCTACCCGACTCCCAGAGTTGAAGGAGGGCAGGTTTATTTAGCTCAGTTTGAAGAGGTTTCCATCCACAATCAGCTGGCCCCGGGGCAGGGTGGCGTGGCAGCGGAGTACCACAGAGGCAAGCAGAAGAGAGCAACAAGCAAGGGAACAGCATCTCTCTGCCCCTTTCTTCTCAGAACTGCTCGGGGCACAGCAGTCACCCCCGTCATCCTGGTGTCCTTGGGCCTAGCACAGGACCGGGAATCAATTCCAGTCACACCCTCAGTCCAGCCACACCGGAAGCCCCAACTACGACCGCATGGGGCTCGGTGACGTCTGGACACGGCCCCGACCCAAGAGTGACCCAATGACAAAGCAGCCACATTCTGCTTATTTCCAAAGTCAACAGGAACACACAGCGGTCGCCGCCCACCTTCAGGAGCATGGCCAGCATGGTGAGCAGGGTGTCCACGTAACCGTACATCTTGCCTTGCGAGAACAGTAGCGTGGACCGGTGCAGCAGCAGCTTCAGCTCCTGAGGGACAAGCACACTGTCGTGAGTGGGACGGAAGGGCTTTGCTGCAGTTTTCTGTGCACAGGGAAATTCTGCTTTAGACACCAAGCTGTGAGAACATTTGCTTTACGGTCTTTCATAACAACTAAGATCCAACATTTTAGAAAGTAAAATTTATAGTGTCTAACAAAAAGTGGCTGAAACTCAGTAACTTAAAAATCAATTTTCAAAGACACTGATTTTTTTTTATTAGTATTTGTGATACATAATAGTTACATTCATTTTGGGGGGAATTATAAATGATTAAAGATATACAGAGAGCCATACATACACAGCTGTCTTTACCCATCCTGATCCCTGCCCACATCCAACCCTTCCTGCTCCTGATCCCTTCCCCACCTCCAAAAAGTCTGCCTCCTGTTTCCTACCATCTCTCCTTTATTTCATTCTTCATTTATATTTAAGGTTTCTTACATAAGAGAAACCATGCAGTACTTAACTTTTCTGTGTCTGACTTATTGCACTTAACATTATGTCTCAAGATCCAGCCATGTTTCTGCAAAGGACATGAACTCATTCTTTATGGCTGAGTAATATTCCATGTGTCTAGATACCACATTCTTTTGCCCAGTTTGTGGATGGGCATCTAGACTGACTCCAGTCACTGCATATCAATCCTTACCTCTGTGGGTAACGTACCTAGAAGAGGTACAGCTGGGTCCAACTAGAGTTCTATTTCTCAGAAACCTCCACAGATTCCACAGCAGTGACCCTAGTTTACACTCCCACCAACAATGGAGAAGGTCTCCTTGTCCCCCACACCCTGCCTGCATCTGTTTCTTTTGTGCCGTGCTGGCTGGGGTGAGCTGGAATCTCGGGCGGTCTGACACGTCACATACACTGACTATAAGCACGACACCCTCGGCGACTGAGCAGGAAGGGCTCAAATGCGGTCCAGCGCCCACCTGCTGGGCAGCGTTTGCATCCTGGGCTAGCGTGTCTGGGTCATACATTGGTTCCAGAGCTTCCAGCGCCTTCTCGGGACGGCCCAGCTGCTGCTGAAGGGTGGAAAGGGAGATCCTGGCGTCCAGATGGAGCGGGGCCAGATCGACCACCTTGCTGTAGCTCTCAGCGGCACGCTCCATGTAGCCCAAGGCCTTCAGGCACTCTAGGACAAGGACAAGGACAAGGTCAGAGAGCACTGGCGGGGCCACCGGCTGCGCACCGTGCCAGATTCCCTTGTGAAGGTCACAGCGATACCGTGAAGGGAGAGATGGGCGCATGCATCTTTAGCACTTCAAAGCACCTCAGTACTACAGTATCTTCCTGCCTGATCAGTGACTCCACTGCTCTCCGTAACCAATTAAACGTAAAAGGCTGGCTGTCACCGGCACACATATAGTTTGGTGCACTGCGCTTTAAACATTTGCCTGTCTTCACTGGCCTTCCGAATAGTATATAACAGTCAAACTGAAGATTCAACCATAGCACATGACATTTAGGTTTCCGAATTTTCCCTCCAACAATACCATGGTAACACGGATATGGGTCCCACTTCACCTACAGACGTGTTTATTAGGGCACAGCGGTCTAAGGGCTATTAGCTGCCGGCGTACATAGAAGTGAGGGTTTTACACAGCTCCCATACTGGACTCTTTGGCGAGCGTGGATCGCTCCAGTGGTCCCCACGCCCGTGAGGCAGGCACATCAGCCCTGCACGGGGCTCTCCCTCCGGGCTCAGGCCTCACCCACTTCATTCCCTGGTCACCTGCGGGGCTCCTGAATTTTGGGAGCCCTGGTACCAACCACCAGCCCCACAGGGTACACTCTTGAAGTACGACTGCCAGAACCTCAGGCTCCATCCTGAGCGCCGCCCCAATCTAGGCCCTGCACCCTGCTCTCTTCCATGCAGGGGTCTCCTAGATAGTCCTGCCTCCACCTGATTCTCAAATCTCTGAACCGCCACCCTGCAGTCAAATCCTGAAACTAAATTAGAATGCTTAAGTGGACCATCCCAATGGCATTTCCTGTACTTTTCATTTTTCACTGTTAAAAGATACACTGTTATGCTTTAAGTATTTTTTGCCCTTCATTCACTAAGCTACATGGGTCCCAAATGGAAACAGCACTTACCAGAATCACGAGTGTAATTAAACAGGCTTTTTAAACTTCCTACTGTTGGTTACATGCGGGCGGTTTCAGTATCACAGCCTTAGAGAGGCACAAAACTGAAACTCTCTGCTCATCTTTGCAATGCCCATCCCAGAGACCACGTTTAACGATGGTGTAACGTGTGTGCTGCTGCTCACTCATCCGAACACGAGCACGTAACCATGAAGGCCTCTTCTCCAGTTCCTGGGACGCAACAAGCTACACTCCCGTCCTGAAATGTACCCAGTGGTCTCCAGCCAGAGGACTCGCTGCCACGTATGACAGGGCCTAGAACCTTCTTCCATCACGCAGTACCCTAAACCAAAGGAGCTCTACTTCTAACACGGCTTTTTATGTTCAATTACTAAATCTATTAATAAGTTATCTTTCTACTCTAAATGATTTGAGGTTACTGTGGACTTGGGCATAGTGACAAAAAATGATGAAACGTAATCTTGTGCATGTGCGGCTTAGAGAGCATGGAAAATGTATCAACTACTTTAAAAGTAGTGTGAAACTTCCAAGATTAGATTGTACCCCACGTCTGGCAATGCAATACCAGAGACCAAGCGAGGGCACGGCTGAGGCAGGCATGCAGGGACACAGCAGCCTGACTTCCTGCTAGGGGGCATTTACAGCACAAACGCAGGCCCTATGCTAGGGGTCCTTTAGGGTCACCACCGCCTGGGCAAAGCAAGCTCTTCCCGCCAAGAACAGCTACCTGCGTGGCGGAGCCAAACCACCGCGAGGCTGTATCTCTCCGAGCAAACCAGCGCGCTAAGGAGTGGGAGCGCGGAGTTGTACTCCCCGACGTCCAGGAACGCCTCCGCCACGTCCAGGTACAGGTCCCCCATGTCCTCGGGGTTCTGCTCCACCAGCGTCGTCAGGAGAGGCTGGGGCACAGAGAGCCTGGTTACGGCCGCGCACGCCAGCCCCGCGTCTCTGTCACAGCAGCAGAGGCTGCTGAAGTCCTCGGCCTCGCCCGCCCTGGGCCGGAGGTCTTTCCTGACCCCCGGAGAAAATGCGCAACTCCCTGCACCCCAGTATCACCCGCTTTCCTTGTCTTTCTCTAGAACACCTACACCAGAAAACAGCCTGTCCTCCATGGATTACTACGCAATCCCGTTAGAGCGAGAGCCATCAAAGCAGGGATTTTTATTTTGACCCAACACTTCCCCCACAGGGAACGAAATGCATGCCCCGCCCTTGTGGGCCTGGGACACACCGAGGGCCGTCCCGAGGGTCTCTGCTCCCTGGAACTTGGCCCGCGGTCAGCGACAGCGAAGGGCTGGGTAATGGCCCACCTCAATTTCCGATCTTGGTTCATTTTACAAGGAAAAACCCGATTAGAAGCCCAATCCCCAAACACCTAGCTTTCGGCAGGGCGCTGCCCGCCCCTCGCACCCTCCTCCATGGGAAACGAGGACCTAGGGCTCGCCGCGCTTCCCCGCCGCGGGGTGACCTCAGCCCTCGCTGCCCCTTACATTCAGCGGCTCGAGGATGTGCAGATGCACCAGGCAGACCATCAGCTTCACCATGATGTCGATGGGCACGCCCTCGGGGATGGCGCAGGTGACTCCCTCGTCGCCGGCTGCGGCAGCAAAGACGGAGGCTCCTGTCATGCGAGCTCGGAGCCGCCTCCCTTCCTACAAGCGGCCCCAGCCTGCACGCGCTCTCCAGCCTCCTCCAGCCTGTCGGCCCTCGGCACCCACCCTTCCCGTTCCTGCCTTACCATCCTCTTCGCCAAACACACATAAACCCCACATTCTCTACCAAAACTTCAAAGCCAGCCGTGTAATCCCAGCACTCAGGAGGCTGAGGCAGGAGGATCACTGCGAGTTTGAGGCAAGCCTGGGCTACCTAGTGAGTTCAAGGCCAGCCTGAACTACATAGGGAGACCTTGTCTCAAGAAAAAAAAAAAAAAAAAAAAAAAAAAAAAAAAAAAAAAAAAACAAAGAACACCACAGAGATGACTTCTTTCTTCTTAAAATCAAACCCTCTTTCCAGTGTTAACTACAAAAAGGCTACTGAGAGTAAAATGACACTGTGCTGTTTTCTAGAATTTCACTACAGCAAAAACAATTTTTTTTTTTTGGTACTGGGTTTCGAACTCCAGACTTTGTGTTTGCAAGGAAGGCAGCGGCACCACTGAGTTAAACCTCCAACTAGCTAAAACAATTCTTAAAGCCCTGGGAAGTTAAAAAATTTTTGACACAGACTTATTTTATATTTTGCATAAATTCCACATACACTTTATGTTTCCACTTCAGAAAATTCTAAAGCATAGAACATTAGCAAAAAAAAAAAAAAAAAAAAAAAAAAAAAAAAAAAAAAGCAATTTACCTGAAAAGACAGAAAATTTAAAACTACTTTAAAAATTAAATTCATCCATTTTTATAGACCGTGTTATAAATTATAGTACCATATAAAGTTACCAAGTCATAGGGAGACTAGAACAAGTTTTAATATTAGGAGACTTTTTAATCACTGAGCTTCAAGATAACAGCTGGTATTTGCTGTGCTCAATGAGAAAGCAGAATTCACCTCCATGGAGAGTGACGCTCAGCCACCCACAAGCACCCTGAAGACAGGACCAGGTCCGTTTGCCTGCAGGGATTCTCCTGACATGCGGGTTCCATACTGCAAACTCTCATCACTCTGATCTGCTTGGCAGAAATTTCTTTCCCCAAAACTCTTGCACTGAAACTAAGCCCGTGCAGGGTGGGGCAGGACTCCTGTGCTTCTGGAGGGGCTGCAGCTCCGTTCACTCCTCCTGCCTGAGGACACAGCAGACGAACTGCGTGCCCTGAAAAGGGGCGGGAGACTCCAAAGTGCCGTGCAGAGCTCAGCTCACCTGAAGGACTGCGAGCAACGGACAGACGTGTGATGTCTACAAAGCACCCAGCTAAATGCCGACACAGCCACCCAAGCGCGCTAAGACGCTGCTCGGCGCAAGACAGCTCCCGGCGATCTGCGACATGTGTAAAACCAAACTCCTTGCTCTCACCTCAGATCACAAAGTAAACGCCAACTATCCCGAATACAAGATGCGTCTAAAAATCAAGACACTCTGCAAGGCTGGGAGAAGGCAGAGGCTACCGAGAGGACATCTGATGACGCAAGGACCCCGCAGAGCGAGGGCAGAGCGACTGAGTGAAGCCTGGAACCTGGGCCAATCACAGCTGCCCCGGCTCGGCCAGGGAGGTGCAGAGAGCACAGGGGACGGATGGGTACGAAGCCGCCTGGGGAAGGCAGCCCTCCCGCTGGACAGAGCGCATCCTTACAAAGCCATCTTTCATCACTGACATTTACTCTCCCGGTTCTACATTTAGAAGAACCACACCTGCACTCAACAGCAACACCCCCTGCACCAAGAGGCGTGCTCGTTTCTGGTTAGTCTGGGAATGGCGGTCCTTTCAAACCACCGCGACTCCCGCTTCTCACTCAGGACGCTGTACATCACCCTGACCAGGCAGGGCCAGCGGGCACGCCCCGACCAGGCTCCACTCCCGGTGCTGGGTGGAAACGCTGACAACATTATCTGCAGATCCGAGGCCACGCTCTGTACGAGGAAACTACCTTTATCCTCCTCCGAGGGGCCATCTTCTTCCAGAGGCTTTTTTTCTAGCACAATTCCAGAAAAATCTGTAATTACCTGAGAGAATGGGAAAAGGGAAAGAACACAATATTTATGAAAACCTTTCATAATGCCAAGGTTTATAAATAATTCAAATAATCCCTGCAAGATAGAAATGGGAAATGAAAGAACAGAGGGTCTTTTAAAATGAGGAATCCCGAGAAGGGACATAGTCCCACTGCGTCCACACCGAAGACACACAATACCTCATCGGCTGCCACCCCAGCCCACCTGCCTGTCCAGCTGCCCGCCGGGGCACACATTCACATCCCAGGAGAAGCACGCTTTACTACAGAATCTAGACCCAGAATTTAAATATAATTGAAGTGAATGGTCAATCTGCAAGCCTTTCTGGAACACAGAAACACGCACCACTTCAGGGAAAGGCAGCAGCATGCCTACCTCCAAAGCCTTGTCGTACTGCTTGTTAGAAATGTACAGCTCGGCCGCGATGTTCACGTCCTCCATGGAGACCAGGGCCTGGTGTTTGGAGAAAGCTTCTTCGATTATGCTAATAGCTGAGGCACCGTCATTGGCTTCATAGTAACTCCTTAAAAATTGCCAAGAGGGATGAATGCTTACATAATTCTGGTACTGAAACTTGCTCGGGCCTTCTAACAAATGACTTTCATTTTTTTTTTTTTTTAATTTGAGAGGAAGACCTACAACTGTCCTGGCTCTCACAAAACTTCAGTGTGCCCTCAGTTGTGGACGATTCCAACCTAAAGACAGTAAGTCCCTGACTTCTGGACATTCCAGTTGGGAACTCGTCACCGGTGTGCTGTGTAAGACTCACTGTCGGACGCAGGAGCGAATCTGACTTACAAGTGCTCTCCTGGGACAGACTCGCTTGTACACCACGGACTTCAGTCTGAGCGCACCGTACCTTCACATCCTCCTTACCTCCGATTCCTACAACCCGTCCCTCCCCCAGGGCTGCCCACTGCCCGCAGGTCTCTTTAACCCCATCTACTCAAATCTGCAGTGCACAGCTCCGCCAAACTGGGTTCCAGCTGGCAACGGTCACTGTCAAGCCCGGTCCTCCTCCTCTGCCATCTGATCACGCAGGCGCCTTTCAGTGCTTCCCTCAGTACGACTGAGAACATACATCCTATTTTCTTAGTGGCTTTCATCTTCCCTGGCCATGGCCTTTTGTCTCCCTGCTATTTCCTCCTCTTCTCCTTGACTACTAAATGCTGGAGACCCTTGTGGTTCAGTCCCGAGAGCTCTTCCCAATACCTGCTTCTCTTTCACGGTTCTTTCCAAAACACACACACACACACACACACACACACACACACACACACACTCACTCTCTCTCTCTCTCTCTCTCTCTCTCTCTCTCTCTCTCTCTCTCTCTATGTCCAATACATCACAAGCTGCAAGCTCGGCCTTTCAGTTACATCCAGAATCTGATGACTCTCATCCCCTCCTGCCGATTCTACCCTGTCCAGGCCACTGTCTGCCCCTCCAAGTGTCACCGCAGTAATTTCCTGACCGGACTCCCCGCTTCTGCCTTCGCTCCCTTCAATCTGTTCTCCAAGAACAGCCAGAGCCACTGTGCATAAAACTAACTCAGACCATGCCACTCCTCGATCCAGTCTAGTGGGTTTTAAAAACATTCAGAGCCAAAGCCAAGGCACCGATGGCAGCACACAGGGCAGAAGTCTCTGTTCCCGAGACCTCTGTGCCGTGCTCCCCTTGACACCACGCTGTCCCGGAACACAGCTGTCCACCTCCACTTCCTCTGCCTGCACTGCGCTTCCCTAAATGCCTGTACGCTTTAGTTGGTGGATCTAACGCAAGGCCCGAGTCCTCTTTAACCAAGCTACTGTACAATAACACCCATCCCTCCTATTCCTGTCCTCTTTTCTGTGCTTTCTATTTTATCACCGCCATCTGACATATGTTTATCTGTTTCTTTTCTTTCTATCGCCCTCCACAGGAACGAAAGCTCCACAGAGCAGGGCACTTGCACGGTGTGTTCATGCCCGGCCCTCGCAGCTCTCTGAGCAGTGCCCCCCATGTAAGAAGCCCTCAGTACTTCTGGAGGGAGAGCCTGGTCACTCAGCGGTCACGGCACCACGGCTCCAGGGAGGAAAATCTCCACAGTGGTAGCAGAACAGGCGTGAAGGACAGTTATGGAAGAGGAGCCTTCCGCACAGGCCACCTAGTGATCCCTAAACAGAAGCCGAGAGCACAGCCACTGAGCACCAAGCGAACAGCACGTGGCCCGGAAGGCCCTCCACTCTCGGGGCTCCAACAGGCTCCTCCTCCTCTCCGAATGTCCTCCAACACTTCTGTATTCCTGGGCATGTATGGGGCAACTGCACAGAGAAGCAACATCACAATAGTTCTAACCTCATGCGTCAGGGTCAAGACGGCTCACGTGAGGCTAAAACACTGCATACCAGACACCCCCAGAACAGAAAGTGAACCACTGCCAGGCCTGGTGATGCACACCTGCAATCCCAGCATTTGGGAAGCTGAGGCGGGAGGATCACTGTGGGTTTGAGGCCAGCCTAGGCTACATAGTGAGTTCCAGGCCAATCTGAACCACAAAGCGAGACACCATCTCAAAAAATAAAAACCGCAAAAATGCACAAGACACAATGTGCTCAAAATGTTTCCTGTACTTTAAAGTACATACCAGTCAGTAACATGTACCAAAAAAACCCTTTTAGTCTCATAACGTTATTCCACTGGCTTTAGATAAAATGACTAGAATATCTCACAAAATGTTTCACTGGCCTGTCTGTACCAAAAAGTAATTTTAAAGATACCGCAATATACACAATTTCAGGCAGGTTGTGAAAACCTGGGAAGCTCATCACCTTTCAGAACATGCTTCATTCTGCAGGTCTGAGCACTGGAAACGTAACCTTATGTGTAAGGTTTTCTAAACAATCAGCTAACTTGGAAACAGAAAAGTACTCCAAAAATTTACTATTTAACCAAACATAAAATCTTCCTCAAATGTCAATGGCGGTCATGTTCCACTTTACATTAATGCTCTGCCCCACAAAACAGGACGACTAGTAACAGCACCCACATACCCTTGACCCCAAACTTACTTGGCCATATCTCTAGCCAACTGCATAAAGCGCTCTCCATCAGACGTAGGCAAAAGGTTTAGAATTCGCCTGTACCCATCCATTGCCATTTTATGGTCACCCATCTGCTCACATAGACTTGATCGCTCCCACAGAAACCGGATATTAGTAGGTTCGTATTTAAGAGCTAGAAGAAAGGAAAGGAGTCAGTTACATATTTATCACACAAAGAGGTACACAGCACCTGAACGGGGCCCATCATGTTCCCAGAAAATTTAATAAACAGTGGGAACAGGAAGTTATCTGGAAGACAGCTTTCTTCACAGGAATTCATGGCGAGGAGTGAGCTAAGACCAGACAAAGCCTGAGTCCTCATATTCACCTTCCTCACTTGGTCACTCAAGTCCAATCTGAATTTTCAAGGAACAGCCTAGAGCCAAGACAGACCTTACCAGGAAACTAAAAGTTCTTCTACCGACTTTGGTGCTTATCAGTGTGGTACAACTGAGTGCAGGAAACAAGCACACTGCAGCCAACAAACACCTACTATGTGACGCTAGTCAGAGCAGGGAGACATTTCAGTTACCTTTCGTATAGCAGAAGATAGCCTGCTTAATGTTGTCTTGCTCCAGAGACATTTCTGCCAGTCTAACCCATTCTTCAGTGTCACTGGGATTTAAATGCGCGGCAATCAATTCGAACTGCAAGGATTTCTCCATGTCGCCTTGGTCCTCGTATATCATAGCAAGAGTAGAGAACGGCTCATAAGCCAGAGGAGCTAAAGGAATTGGAAAAATGCAACCCATTGGCTGAGGGAAGCGGCCTGAGCTGATGCAGTCCCACGGCTCAGACTGTGGGCCTCCATTATACCTACACACACCCTTTAATCACACTAGCAGAATCATACAAACTATTTAGTGACATTTAAGCACATCACCTCTATTGTATTTTCATGTATTTTTGGTGTTTTTTTTAAATAAAACATTATTTAAATCAAACAAAATATACAGTATCATGAAAAACCCAACCCTCTGCCACAGTTTCCTCATGATACCCCCTTCACAGAGGCTGCACAGGGCCCGATCACTCAGCAAGTTCACTAATTAAAACATCAGCACCAAGTTTTCAGGAGAGAGCTCCGCACCAGGGAGTACCCTGGCAGTGGACAGAGTATCTAAGCAGCGCCTAAACCCAGAACATCAAAGTGACTGGTTAATCCGTGTCTCTAAAACCCTGCTCATACAGTGAAATTCAAAGATTACTAGATTAAAGTAAAAAATTATGGGAAAAAATCAACAACTATAATCGTAAATAAAGGAACAGACAATAGTAGAAAGTAAAACAAATGAAATATTCTGGAAAAAACACTTTGGTTCATCTTATTTCTAAAAGAACAAAACACTGGAGGCAGGAGGATGACAAGTTTGGGCCCAGGGTTAGCAAAAGTTCCCCAAGAGCTGCAGTCACAACTCAGTCCAAAGGCCTGCATCTATCACCGGTCATATAAATGATCATTCCAAACAGAAATTAGAGAATGATTTTTACAGTAGTGGCCTCAAATCACCCTAATGAATAATCCACAAAATTTTTTCAAGACTTCTAAAAGGACCCAAGTCTAATGAAATTGAAATGAAGAAATACTGAATAGGAAAACAGATTCGCTGTATTAGAAAACAAATACCCACCTTACTCTACAAGACATCAGCTGACAATTAGAAAAGCAAAATTATATAAGCCATTACTCAAAACAAGTCACTTTTGAAGATGCCCTTCAATATGCCCAAGATGCACCATTTAATCAAAAGATGACAGGTTTAAATTGTATCTTGATCAAAAGGAGATTAAAGGCTGAGCATGGTAGCAAATGACTGTAATCCCAGCACTCAGGAGGCTGAGGCAGGAGGATCACCATGAGTTCAAGGCCACCCTGTACATAATGAATTGAAGGCTAGCCTGAACTATATAGTGAGACCCTATCTCAAAAAAAAAAAAAAAAAAAA